AGGACGGGTAGTTTTCCCCCGGGTTGACTTTTGCATTGTCATCTTGGAGTTATGTTATGTCTGTGACACAGTTGCTGTGTTCTGAGTGTGGAATGGGCCAGAACCCATTTTGATTGAGTCTTGTCATCTGAGATGAGAAGACTTGAAAAGGAGTTGAAATAAAAATTCTCCTTTCCTGGCCTTCTAGGTAGGAGAGTGTCAGTGTCCACTTAGACACTGCCCAGCCTGCCTCCTGCTCCTCCTTGCCTCCCACCCCTGAACTCCCGAGAAGGGTAAAGACTTTCCCTGTGGCCACACAGCAAGTAGATACAGGAAACCAGGTCCTCAAGCTTAGCGTAGTCCCTGCCCCACCCCATGCCTGTTGATTCCCTCCCTAGTCTCCTTCTCTTTCTCTTCTTCTCACTGCTCTCAGCTTGGTAGAGCCCAGCTCTATCTTCCGTGGTTATACCTGGGACTGGGGGCTCTGAGAAGGGGGAAAGAAAAGGAGGATGGCATAGGAGTTGGCATAGAAGGCCTGATGACTTCTGGATGGGAGGTGAGACCATGGATAAACAAGACCCTAAATTTGCACCCAGCCCTGGGAGTGTGCGGATAGTGGGGTCAGGACACCCCTCCCAGTGAGAAGTGTGTGGGGGATGCTGAGAGGGCTGGGGGTGTGGGTTTGGGTGGTTGCTCTATTGCACGGTGTCACCCTGTGTGTGTCTGTCTGTCCGCTGTGTATCTTGAGAGCCAAATGCCTTGATATTACATTTACTGTCTCCATCACACTGGGTGTCACATGAGCCTTTGGGTTCTGTGTGTCTGTGTGTGTGTCTTGTCATGCAGTTGTGTTGTCGGTAGGTCCGGGTTCTGAGGGCCCGAGATGTGTAATTGTGCATGTTGTGACAAGTGTGCAGTGCTGTGTTGTGTCTTTGGCAGACTGTGTCTGGCATGCCAACGGGAGTGTGGCATTCCAGCATATCGGTGTCCCGTGGTGTGGCAGGGTGTGTCTGGGGGGTGAGCGGATGCCTGTTGTGCCATGGGCATCTGTGCGCACGCACACGCACACACACACACACACATACATGCAAACACACATTCCCTTTTGGACAGTTCTGGCAGACCCAAGCACATTGGACTTGGGGAAGTGAAAAGTACAAATACACAGATAGGTGTAGAGACACAGAAAGGCACACAGGTTCAGCCTGGGTATTGCCAATGTGGGGCCAGTGGGGGCTTGGGAGAATGGGGAGGGGACAAGCGATGGGGAGGAAGAGAGAAAGCAAGAGCTGTCAGGGTGCAGGAGACACCAGAGGCCTCCAGGACAGGCTGGGGACAGTGGGGAGAATGGCTACCACTGCGGAGGGGGTGCTCTTTCCTGCCAGCTCCTCTCCAAAGTCACAGCTGCAGGATGTGGGTTTCACCTACCCCTACAAGCCAAACCTGGGCGGGGGGTTGCTGTACCGAGGCAGAGGATCTGGCAGAGTACACAACCAGGGTCCTACCCCACTGTCTGGACAGTTTGTGGACTAGACAGCACAGCAGGTCTGGAAAGTAACGAGCGACCGGGTTCCTGAAGAGGCCAGAGGCTGGCGGTTCTCTTCAGAGCCCTGGAGTCAGGGTAGGACTGGATGCCTCCCAGGCTGCTGAATCCAACAGGATCCACAGTCCCCAACTTGGTGTCCTGTCCCCAGGGTTTGCCTTCCCGGATTGGGCCTACAAGCCGGAGTCGTCCCCTGGCTCGAGGCAGATTCAGCTGTGGCACTTTATCCTGGAGCTGCTGCAGAAGGAGGAGTACCAGGGCGTCATTGCCTGGCAGGGGGACTACGGGGAATTCGTCATCAAGGACCCTGACGAGGTGGCCAGGCTCTGGGGCATCCGCAAGTGCAAACCCCACATGAATTATGACAAGCTGAGCCGGGCCCTGCGGTGAGGACGGGCTGTGGGCCTGGACTTCCACCTGCCCCCTTCTCCCCTCACTGCCTCTCTGGTAGAGACCCCCCCCCCCGCTGTGGGGGGAGCTTGCCCTCCACAATCCTGGGACTGAATTCCACTGGATTCCAAAGTGCAGCTCTTGTCAGAGCTGCCCCGATTATTTCAAGTGGGAGGCAGGAAAGACCTGAGTCCTGGGCTTTGGAGGCATAGCTCATGCTTCACTCACCCCATGACCTTGGTTAAGGGACTTCAGTGAGCCTCAGTTTCTCCAAACTGCTGCATGTACAATGAAGCCCTGGGGCTCTCCTGTTCCTCCCCAGCACCCCTGCCCTCTCTTCCTGCAGTTACTACTACAACAAGCGCATTCTCCATAAGACCAAAGGGAAGAGGTTCACATACAAGTTCAACTTCAGCAAAGTAGTGCTTGTCAATTACCCACTGCTGGACATGGCGGCAGCTGCCACAGGCTCCCCACTACTGCTGACCCCTGGTCCCTTTGGGGGGGCCCCTGGGCCAGATGTGTCTCCCCTCACCCCTGAGGTAAGTTTGGATACTAGGATCCCAGAATGGAAAGTGGGATGTTACAGTGCTACCCCAAACATAAGCCCCTCTGGGAGGGGGCTGTCTAAGCAGCACTGCCTCCTTACCTCCCTCTTCAGACCCTGCAGACCCTGTTCTCTGCCCCACGCCTGGGAGAGCCAGGGGCACGAACGCCCCTGTTCACCCCTGAGACGGACAAACTGCGTGTGGACAGCCCTTTCTCATTTCTGGGTTCTGGTAAGGGGAGACCTCATATTTGAGGGAAGAGACCAAGAGAAGGCTATAGGGGGCAGGATGAAGGAAGGAGACCCAGGCCCGACAGTGTGCATGTGTTTAAAAGCCAGGGGCTGGGAGGAGGGTGACGGGGCATGATGGACAAGCTGGGAGAGGGGCCTCGGGGTGCTGAAGGGAGGTAAGTGGGGGAGTAGAGGGGGTCAGGGAAGCCACATTAAAGACAGACCCCCAGTGGGAAGGACACCGGGAGGATGGTGAAACATACGAGAGGTGCGCCCTGCACTGGCCCAAGTACAGGCAGGCCCCATGGGTAAATGGCCAGGCCTGACCCATCCCCTGTGCCCCCCAGGTACCACTGGCTATTCCAAGCCCCCTGGACTGCTAGGACCTTATGGCCGCGCTTTCCCAGAGTACCCCTGGAACTTTAACCCGTATCTCACCGGCCCCTTCCCCAAGCTGCCCCCCTCTCTCTATCCCCCGCACTTTTATCCCAACCCTCTGGGTTCCTTGGGCCACCTGCCCTCTTCAGGGGCAGGCCCCACAGCTACAACCCTGTTGGCTGCAACAGGAGACGGCCTGGGCCCTGAGCGTCCCTCAGGCCTGGCAGCAGCCCCTCGTCTGGCACTGCCAGGGGCTGAGGGTCCTGAGGCCACACTGGGTGGGAAGGACGACAGTGACTCGGAGCTGGAAATTACCGATGTCAGTGGCTGCAGTTCTGACAGCGAGGGTGATGAGAGCCTCCCAGTGCCCGCTAAAGCCAAGGCCGGCAAAGGGGAGACCGGCAGCTGAGCCAGTGTGGGTGTTGGATTCTGCCGAGGCGGGGACCAGGGCAGCCACCAGTGAAGTCTCTTCAGTCAGATCTGCCCTGAACAGCAGTCCCAGGTGCAGGACCAGCCCTCGGCACCCTCACAGGGCCCAGTCTTCTCCTTCCCCGCCCCCAGCATGGGGGTCTCCCCTTCCCCTCCGTGAAGGAGGAGGGAATATGATAGCCTCCAGCCTCTTCCCCAGGCTCCAGTTTGAGGGGGGTCCCCACCTGGCCCCACTCCCAAAGTGCAATACGGCGCCCAGCCTCCTGTCCACCCCACTGTGCTGTGACCTGCGTGTTTGTGTGCCAGTGTCTCCTCTGATACCCTCCCACACAGGCCCCCTGGGGACAGGGAGCTCAGAGCAATAACCCCGCCCCCAGCCCCCACCCAGGAGGGCCCCCCCAGCTCCCCTTGACCCCCGCCCCCACAGCCAACTCCAGAGAGTTTACTACAAAAATAAAAGAACGGAGAGATGTGGGACGCGCCCTTCGGATGACCATGGGGGCTGGGGTGGGGGCTCCTCAGATCTAGTGTGGGAGGCACCTGGGGAAAAACTATTACCAAGTGAATGATGAACTGGTGGAACACGGTGGGCCAGACCCAGGAAGTCAATGCCAGATAGTAATGGAGCGGCCCAGATGCAGAGGCCGAGGCGTCCTCACACACAGACCTCTCATTAGATAATATATATTAAAAAATAAACCTCCAATTCAGGATATAAAAACAGAGCGAAGGCACTTGGGGGTGGGGGAATGGAAGAGTGGTCCCCACAGGCAATACTGAGATGGCCCAGGAAAGAGAGGGGTCACAGTGGTCCCCCTGGAATGAAGCCCTGAGTCCCCCCCAAGCAGATGGTAGGAGGGAGAGGAGGCCGAGGCCAGTCAGGGAGGTAGGGACCCCAGCCAGGTCCTTCCCAGGCGTGGTCCTCGCAGCCTGGCTCGCTTCCCTCAGGCCTTGGGGTGTGAGATGCTGCGGCAGCTGTGGGGCGGGGGTTCCCCACATGTCGTCTCCCCTGTTCCTCTCCTCCTTGTGCAAGGCCTGGGGGATGCAGAAGGGAGACGGGGCGAGATGGAGATAGAGGTGAGAGAAGGAGTTGAGAAAGCCAAGAGGCAGAGAACAAATTGATGGAAACAGGAGTAGAGTAGGAAACAGAAATGGGACTGTAGGGACTTACTTGTCCCTTCTCAGAGCCACACCATCGCTTCTAGCCCCCAGATCCCCTACTCACCTGCCTGGGCAGAGACCTCAGGTGCAGCCAGGCTGGGGGACAGGGTTGCCCCCAAGCTGAGACAGGAGTGGTCGTAGGCGGCAAACTTCCTCCTCTAGCTCCTGGTAGTGGTGGAGGGGTCATGGATGAAGGGAGGGTCCCCTTCCTTTTCCAGCCCACCCAGGAACCCCCTGCCCCCAGCCACACCTCCAGCTGCTTTATGGATTCCTCCAGGCTGAGCAGGTTGTCCTGAATTTCCTGGGTCTGCACAGGGCCTGGGCGGCCACCACCTGGGACCCCATCCCCATCGCCGGGAGGCCCCGCCCCACTGTCTTCCTCCGCTGGCAACAGGAGCTGCTTCAGGGACAGTACTAGCCAGGGAAAGGGGGATGGAGTCACAAGAGGTGGGGGCTTGGGCTGGGATCAGTGGGTAGGGCAGAAGCCAAGGAAAGGCTTACTGGGTAAACTGAGGGACAGGACTAGAGGCACTTAAGAGGGTGTGTGGAGCTGGGTACTGGTGGCTTACACCTGTAATCCTAGCTACTCAGGAGGCAGGGAGCAGGAGGATGGTGATTTGAAGCCTTCCTGGGCAAATAGTTCAAGAGACCCTATCTCGAAAATGCCTATCACAAAAAAAAAAAAAGGGGGCTGGTGGAGTGGCTCAAGGTGAAGGCCCTGAGTTCAAGCCCCAGTACCAGAAAAAAAAAAAAGGGGGTGTAGAGGTGAAGCTGGTACAGGAGGTACTGAGGACAGAGGGTGGTTGCAGAGGGACTTGGGCCACCTAGGATGATGGGTGGGATTGGGAATGTGGGTTTTCTGGACATAAAGACATTTGAAAGCAGGGGCCTTTTTCTAGTTCAAACAGTGGCACCATTTGGCAGCGAAGGGCTGGTCTACCTTTCCGAAGAGCTGTGGCAGCGAGCTGGCCCTCGGGGCCGGGTCTGCAGAAGGGCAAGAGGTCGCTGAGGATTCTTTCAGTCCGGGCTGGGTGAGGGGACAGGGAGGATGGTAAGGCTTCCCACGGTGCCTCCTATCGCCCGTGGCCACCCTGCTCCTTACCCCTCTGGACTCACCATCAGTGTGAGGCACCTCTCGGCCACCATTGCCATTCTCAGAGCTGCTGAGCAGGGGTTCGGGTACTGGAGGAAGAAAGTTCTGGGTGACCCCAAACCCCTGGCCCAGGGGCAGGAGGCACATCAGGGGCAGGGAGACAGCTGGAAGTGGGGAGGTCAGAGAAAGAGACAGATGTTGAGGCCAGGGGACAGAGGCCTGGAGATAGGAGACTGTAGAGTTGGCACACATGTACACACACACACACACACACACACACACATGCTTGTACACACATGTGCACACTGAGACGGGGCTGGGCCTGCTGGGTTCTGTGGATGTGCAGGGATGCCGTCCCTGTCCCAGCTGCCTTGGTTCTCCAGCTCCCACCCTGACCCCCTCACCTGCTTGGGCTGGGCCGGGGTTTGGGGCGGGAGGCAGGGGCTGGGACCTTCAGGGATCCGGCAGTCTCAGTGATGAGGGTACACCAACTGAGGAGACAGGCCAAGGCTCAAGGCAGTCAGCATCCCTAGAGCCTGTTTGGGGACCCCCCTCCCCCACTGTCCCCAGGCACCCTCCTCACTTCTTGCGCTCAGACACAGACTGTGCCACCAGCTCATATATCTGGGCCTCCTGATCCCAGGTAAAAATAACGTAGAAGGCTTTGTGATCTGTAGGGGGAGGAGAGAAATGGAGTTCAGTCAGGGTCCCCTAGTGAGTGTCCCTCCTTGGACACAAGCTGGAGTCTGGGAAGTCCCTGTGCCTGCTGCAGTGACACAGTTCACCCTCAATGTCCTACTAATTTTCAGGGCTTTTATGCCCTTCTCCTGAGCCCTTGCCCTCCCATTGACCCAGATCCAATAGCTGCCCCACCATCCCGCCACTCTCACAGTTGTGGTCCTAGCACAACCTTTTGGCAGTATGCGCTTACAAACCCTTTCTCCCTGGGTCCCTGCTCCCTACAGATCCCGAACAGCAGCCAGAGTGTCGTGAAAATACTGATCAGGACAGGCCACACCTTAGTGCAAACACGGGGCAGTTTCCCTCCATTTGAGTGTGCCCCACCAAGCCCTGCCCACCTTATTTCAGCCAGTCAAGCCAGTCCCTTCTCAGCTTCTGCAGCTGGCCACCGATTCCCCAGAGTGGCCTTCCTGTCCCTAGAGTGTTCTGCTCCCCGCTCCATGGGGCAGCTTTGTGTGGATGACTGCCCCAGGCTCCCTGCTGACACACTCACCAGTGGCCACTTCGCGGGTCATGGCAGAGGTGAGCCGCAGCACGGGCCGCAACATGGTCTTGCCATCAGGCGTGGGCGTCAGCGTCCGACTGTGTGACTTGAGCAGCAGCCGCTCGTCCTGGCGCTGGAGCAGCAGCAGAAGGTCGTCCAGCAAGAGCACGTGGACCTCTGCAGGGCAAGGCCAGAGTGTGCTCACACCTAACCCCCCACATCCTGTTCACTGTCCTGCCACCTTCCTGGTACTCACCCACAGCCTTGTCTTTGGTCACCCGCCATGTCAGCGGGCCCTCATGCACTAACTTCTTCTTGGTGATGTCCAGGTTCTGAGGCAGAAAGGAATGGTGGTTAGCCAAGGTGAGGGGGAAAGACAGGCATGAACAACCGGATCAAGCGTCACCATTGATACCCGGTTAGGAATGTGGTGGGAGGCGGTGCAGAGGCTCCCTGGATGGTATCAGAGAATCCCCTAGGCAGCAAGGTCAGGGTGGGCCACGGAAGGGACAGGAACGCAGAAGAGCCCACCTTGAACTCGCTGAGCATGGGGTCACTGCTCTGCCGCAGGTGGGACAAGTCCAGGCGCCGCTGGTAATCCTTGAGCCTCTGGGGCAGAGACAGGAGTGTCATAGGGGCAAGCCAAGCACTGAGGCTGACCCCAGTGATCCCGCAGTGGGTAAGCCAGAAGCCAAGGACAACTTCTGAAAGACAAGCTGAGGTCCAGGCCTGACCTCCAGTGACCTTGAGGAAGAGATGCTAAGGGCTGGGTGTCCGGTAGATACTCAGTAACCTCGGGGAGGAGCCAAGGGCTCTCTGTGACTGCTGAATAAAGTGAGAGTGACAACCTCTTCTACAATACACCCCGCCCCAGTAGGGGCCATGTCCAGCTCACCAGCAGGTCCTCCATGTCACGAACAGCTTGGTTGACGTGGTGAAGAATCTCCCGACAGCACTCGGCTGCCAGCTCCACTTTCTCCCGTTCCACGGGCTCTTCTGCAGGCAGGGAGAAGTTGGCTCCAGTGAACCCCTGCCCGGGAGGCTCCTGAGTTAATGGCCAGGGGTAGGGAAGAACAGCAGAGGCTCAAGGCCAGCCAGGTGGTACCTGTGTTCTGCCCAATGCTCTGCAGCAAGAGGGGGTACTTGGTGAGACGCTGCATCTCCGTGGGAATCATGTCCTTTAGCTGTAGGCGGCGGCACCGGGGGCGGCTCTCAGCATCCTGAGGGCAAAACAGTGCTGGGACACCAGCCCCTCCTTCCCAGAGACCCTGGAGTGCAGCCCCATACCCTTCTCCCTCAGACCCAGGGGTTCAGACCTCAGCCCTCTGCCCTCAGATCCAGGGGTCCAGGCCCCAGCCTTCTTTCCTCAGACCCAGGAGTCCATGTCCTGTCCTTTCTCCCCTGGGACCCTGGAATCCAGCCCCATCTCACCTGCACAAAAGCACAGAATCGAGGCTCCTTGCGCTGTTTGGCTTTGAGCTGCTCTAAGGCAAATGACTGGCGGCTGCAGAAGCGGGAGGAGATTTTCTGGAACCACGAGCCCTCGGTACCATCAAACTATAGCGAGATTTAGGCCAGGGAGGGTCTCAGGTAGATTGACAGGAACACAGCCTCACCCAGGGACGGAAGTCTAAAGCAGGACCCAGGGAGATTGGATTCCAGGTCCCTGGCTGGGAGATGGGCTGGGAGTTAGGGAAGGCACCCTCACCCGGGCCAGCAGCACATCTCCGATCTCCTCGATGAGGTAGCCACTCTCTTGTCTCCGCTTCATCAGGCGATCAAGGAACAAGGCTGTGAGGGGCAGAGAGGAAAGAGGGTGTTCTGTGGGGGTACAGAAGATTGTCTGTAGTGTGAGGGTGGGGGTCAGGGCTGATCGTTCAGGCTTGTGAGCCTGCTGCCCTCTCTTCATGTGCTTGTTTGGTATGTCTGTCCCCTAGGTGTAAGCTCCGAGGGCTGGGGAGAGGAGGTCCCCAGTACTAGTCAGAGGCTGTGGGAGGGAACCAGGAAGGTTGTGCTGGGCTCCAGGTCTGGGGAGGTATGGAAGGAAGGAGGCAGCTATGGGGTACAGAGGGGCCGGAGCCCGGCACTCACAGTGAACCTCGATGAGCTCATCGAGGCTGGGGAAGATGTTCTGCAGCTCCTCCAACGGGAAGAAGCCCCCTTCAGCCATGGGCTGGTAGAAGAGGTCGTGCAGCACACGCAGCATTCGTACGTGGGCTGCCTCTGTCACCAGCAGCTCTGTGGGCCCCCAAAGCAGGACACATCACTGGGGAGGGCGCCAGCTCTGGGAGCATCCTCAGAGGCAGGCTGGGAGGAGGCGAAGGGCCCGATGGGGTGAGAAGCCTCCTAGGAGCTGGTGTGGGGGCACACTCTGGGTAGGAGCACTCATCTCCTTAAAGAGCCAGCCATCGAGGACTCCTTCACCTACTGCCTTTTCCTGTTGCTGGGACATTCAGCCAGGGTGACCAGTAGTTCCAGTTTGCCAGTCATGGGACTTTCAGGGATAAAACTGGGGAAGGCCCAGGCAAAGCAGCACAGGCCTGAAGCTGTGTTTAGTATCTAACCCTCTATCCATTTTCTCAGACTTGGTTTCTGGTTTGATTTTTTGAAGCAGGATCTTGCCATGCCATTATAGCTCAGACTGCTCAGGAATTCTTTTTTTTTTTTTTCTTTTGGTGGTACTGGGGTTTGAACTCAGGGCCTCATGCTTGCCAGGCAAGTACTCTACCACTTGAGCCACTCCACCAGCCCTGTTTTGTGAGTTAGGGTCTTGTGAACTATTTGCTAGGATGATTACAGGTATGAGCCACCGGTGTCTGGCTCTTTTTTTTTTTTTTTTTTTGGACAATATGGGATTTGAACTTAGGGCCTCATGCTTGCTAGAAAGGTGCTCTGCAACTTGAGCCATGCCTCCAGCCCTACCCTGGAACTCTTGATCCTCCTGCCGCAGCCTTCTGAGGGCTGGGATTACAGACATGCCCCACAATGCCCAGCTTCAGCCAAGGTTTCTGATACATGGATTCTAACACAGATCTAGAGACCTCTCCTTCCTCCACAGAAGGATTCAGCACAAGTTCCAGGAGCCCCAAAAGTCTGTTGAGACTAAGTGCACAATTCTGTGTGTTATACTTATCTTTCTGGTGAAATTGGCTGCTTAAATTTTAACTACTTAAAATGCAAATGAGGGCTAGGGGCATGGCTCAAGTGATAGAGGCCTTGACTTCAATCCCAGTACTGAAAAAAAAAAAAATCAAATGAAACACAAAAATTCAGTTCTCATTTCAAGGGCTCAACAGCTATCTGTGGCTGGTTGTTACTGTGTTGGACAGCATAAATAGTTTTTCATTCCAGAAAGAGCCTATGTTTGTATCACCTCCTCAGAAGGCTGTGTGACCTAAAAAGTATTTATCTATTACCCTAAAAATTCTCTCTTGCGCCAGGTGTGGTGGCACCTGCCCGAGCTCTTGAAAAGCAAAGGTAGAACACCACCATCTAAGGTCTACCTGGGGAAAAACTCGAAGCCCCTCTCTGAAAAACTAAAGCAGAAAGGACTGGGAGCATGGCTCAAGTGGTAGAGCACCTACTTGGCATGTGCGAGGCCCTGAGTTCAAACCTTGGTACAGCCAAAAGAACCCCAAAACTCTCCCCTCCTTTTTTGGGGGTGGATTGTTAGCCAGGGTGTCAAGTGTGCTAGGCAAGCACTCTACCACTAAGCTGTACTTCCATTCATGCTCTAAAAATTCCGCGTGAGTATTTCTTTACTATTAAGTAACCTGTAAATAAACTTTTAAACACGCTTCCAAGTGTTTTTACTTTTGCCACCACTTATACCCATGCAATCAGAAAGCACAGAAGAAGAAGAAGAAAAAGAAAAACCAAGATAAAAACAACACACTCATCATTTCTCCACCCCGAAGCAAGCTCTGCTAATGTAGTCATCATTTGCCTAAGCTTTTCTCTGTGGGAATCCTCTTTCTCCAAATCATAAAGACTGTACTAATAAGGTTGGGCTCTGTGGCTTGCGTCTATAATCCCAGCTACTAGGAGATGGGAGGGATCATAGTTGGAAGCTAGTCTGGGCAAAAAGTTAGCAAGCTCAGCAAACAAGTGGGGCACGGTAGTGTGAGCCTGTTATTCCAGCTACTAGGGACACCACGGGTAGGAGGATGGCAGGCCAAGACCAACCCTGGACAAAAACTTAAGACTCTGTGTAAAAATAACTAAAGCAAACATGGGCTGCAAGTGTTGCTCAGGTGGTACAGTGCCTGCCTAACAAGCTCAAGGCCCTGAGTTCAAATCCCAGTACCACAAAAAAGATCATACTAATAATCCAATTAAAATGCTCTTCTGTGCCCAACACTGCTCTTCAAGCGTCATCCAGATCCACTCTGGGTAGGCAAGTATTCTCCCCAGCCTCACTTCTGACTCTCACCGCCAGCACTGTCTACACTGCAATTTATGTAATCAACTGTCCTCTGTTGGCAACGAGCTGCCTTTAAGCTGCTGAGATGGACACCTCCCTGTGTCCTTGGCCACAGTGGGGTGGACAGGGGTGGCACTCACCACTGATGACTTCCTGACGCTTCACTTGGCTCTTGGGTAAGTTGAGCAGCGTGTCTGGGGGGACAAGTTCCCGCCAGCCAGGAGGCTCTTCTGGTTCCAGCTCTAGTCCCAGCCGTCCTGACTCCCCGTCGTCTCCAGGCTCAGGGCTGTGGGCAGAGGCCTTGTCAGGGCCTCAGTGTGGGCATCCCCAGGAGCAGCCTCTGACTCCTTAGCGTACAACTCCTCTACGGCCTTGGCGTTTGATGTCCCCAGAGTGGTCCATGCTACAGACCAGACCCCAGGTCTCTGGACATGTGTCCCGCCCTCCTCTAAGGCTTGAGGCCCTTGCTGCCTTCAATGACCTTGACCACGTGCTGCCCATTTCTCTGTGATTCTGGCAACTACCCTCCCCCCGCCCCGACTCTCCAGTCTGCCTCAATGGATGGGGGAGTAACGTACGTGGCTCGTCGGGCAGGGCCAAGCACGGCCGTAGCGGAGCTGGGGTCCATGTCCACGTCGCTCCGGGAGCGGCCCCCACCCCGGCCCTTAGCCCCGAGGCTGCCCCGGGAAGGCCGGCGGCGGTCACTCACCCGCAGGCTCTCTGAGCGCCCCAGACGCCCTGATAGCCTGGACCCCAAGGCCAAGGACAGAGTCAGGCAGAGGCCGGGACAGAGACAAGGAGAGACCAGGACAGGGACAGGGGAGATCAGAACAGGGACAGAGGAGACCAGGACAGGGACAGAGGAGACAAGGACAGGGACAGAGGAGACGAGGACAGGAAGACAGAGACAGGGAGACCAGGACAGGGATAGGGGAGACCAGGACAGGGACAGAAGAGACCAGGACAAGGACAGGGAGACAGGGTCAGGGGAGACCAGGACAGGGACAAAGGAGACCAGGATAGGGATCAAACATGCAACAGAAAAGAGAAGAGTCAGGAATAGTGAGATTTGAGGGGTGCTGGGGGGAGGGTGGCTGGGAGGTGTAGTAAAATTGGGTAGGAGGCTGGGGGACCCACTGTGGTGTACAGGACTGACCTCTCCCTCCCCTCCCTGAGGCAGGGGACAGGGACAGAGGGGAAGGAGGATTTCCATACTTAGCTCTTCAACTGGGAGGGTGATGTCCCACCCACCCCTCACAGGGGGTGAAGGGGAAGGGATGGCCAGTGGGAGGGGAGAGGGGCTGGGAGAAATGGGGGAGGGCTAGCCCTCCCCCGACCCAGGGCCCAGGCACCCACCTCTTCCACCTTCTGGGGAGAGAGGGCACAGGGTCAGACGTGGATCAGGTAGAACCCAATCCACTTCCCCACACCCACCAAAGGGTCCCTAAAGCAGCAGCACGAGGACAGGCAGGGGGCAGAACCTGCCCCCTCAACTGTGAGGGGGACAAGGCCCCCAGGGGAACAGAGCATGGAGCGCAGAGGGGGATGAGGAACACCATGAGCAGGAGCAGGTGCAAGGTAGGTGGGACTTAAAGAGAGGACAGTGGGGATGGAAAATTAAAGAGGTGGAAGAAGTGGAGGTCAGAGGGCATAAGAGCTGAGGAAGAGGAGGGGAGGAGATGGGAAGGAAACCCGGACAGAGAGAGGAGGCAGAGAAACGAAGGAGGTTATAGGGGAGAGGAGAAACATCAGTGAACAAGGAAGAAGGAGGGGAGAAAAAAGGGAGGAAGAAGGAAGAAGAAGGGAGAAAGGACCAGGAGAAAGGAAGAGTAAGAGGGAGGGGCCGGCAGCGAGGACATGGCTGGGGACAGGCAAGTGCAAATGGCAGCAGCGACCCACACATACCCTCCCAGGCCCGATAAGACATCCCTGCCCTGTCCAGGCCCTCCCAGCACCCCATTCAGGTACCTCTCTGTCTCAGCACCCTCCTCTGTGCTCTCTGAGGGTACCGGAGGCTCCAGGTTTGCAGGACCCTGCGGGGGAATGTCCCCCAGCTCCAGGGGGGTGTCAACACCTGTAGGTGGAGTGGAATTGAGGCTGGTTAGAAAGCCCCTGGCATGCCAAAACCACTCTTTTTCTAAGGGCCTCAGTTTCCCCAGCTGTGGATTGCTAAAGCACCCAATGTCTACAAATATCACGGGACAGACAGGCAGACCTTGAGAGGTCACTGGGGCTGAATGGGGAAGATGTCTCAGAACTACAGTGCCCCAATCACACACCCACTCAACCAGACTGAAGCACTCTGGAGGTGGGAGGGGCCTTTGTGCCCATTCATTCTGCTGACCCTCAGCCTTATGGGAAGAAGACAGACCCTACTTTACAGGTGAGGAAATTAGGTCTCAGAGAGGGAAGTGATTTCCACACCACAGCACAAGTAAGCTGTGGAGAAGCGATTTGAACCCAGGCATGGGCAAGCAGCTAGCTGTGATCTAAGGGGCTAAATGCCCCTGGAACACAAGAAATACTTCATGGAATTGTGGGATTCTGCACCCAAGGCCAGGGGCATGGAAATGTCATTTGGAAGGTGGACTGGCCTCTACTCAGCTTCTGGGAAATGAAGCCCTGGGGGGCTGATGAAAACATAGTCCAAGGAGGAGACATGGTACCAGAAGAGAGGTCAGAGCCCAGTGAGAAAGCAGTGGAAAGGGCAAACTGAGGCAGGGAAACGGTTGTTAGTAACACTGGTGAGAAGGAAGGCGAGTATTGCCAGGCTTTCGGCTAAGTGGGTGCCCCTCCAGGGCTGGTGGCACTCCCACTCTGGCCCAGGAACCTCTCACCTGGTTCTCGGTCTGGGCTGTCCCCAGAAAGAGGGTGCAGAGAGACACCTGGGTTGTCCTGCCCAGGAGCCCCAACATTCCTGTCCCGAAAAGGCACACCTAGGCTTCCCTTCCGGTCTGTAGGACCTGGCTTCTCCCCTGGAGACAGCAAAGGAGAAAGGAAATGAGAAAGCAGTGACCCTCATCCACAACTGCTGCCAGGGGGTCCAAGATGCTGAGCTCCTGTCCTCCTCCCCATCATGGGGATCCTTCAGATCCCAGGATCCAGACCCCAGCCCTCCTCCCTCAGGTCCCAGGATGGATGATACTCTAGCCACAGGTCCATTACCATCAACCTCGCTTTTGAGGTGTCGAAAATCTGGAGCTGAAACAACAGAATGGGACAGTGAGGTGGGGACAGCTTGGGGAAGATGGCAAGGCTGAGTCAAGGACACCTGAGGTCAGGGCCACTGTACCTGGGGGCTCTGCCCGGTTCCATCGAGCAGCGTCTAGGATGCTGCTCAATCCTTTCTTGGTCTTGGGGGGCTCATCTGACCGCCGATTCCCCATCACCTGGGGGAGGGTTGGGAGGAAGGGGAACTTAATATTTCCAAGATGATATACAGCAGAATCAGACCCCAGGTCCCCAGTCTCGAGACTCCCCCGGAGGGTGGGGTGTCCCTGACGAGGCAAAGGCCAAGTTTGGTTTCAGCACCTTTTTCCGGAAGAAGTTCCGCCCTGACTTCTTATCCCCACTCTTGGTCCGCACCCCAAGGTGGCGCATGTATAGACTAATGGCGGTGACCACAGCAGCACTGTGGAGAGAAGATGGTGAGGGCCCCAGCAACCCACACACACAGACAGGAGTGCACTAATGCCCCACAGGAGAGGCGCAGCCCCACCCCCATTCCCACAACCACTTCCTGTGAGTCTGAGAAAGGGGAGGGCTCCATAGGACAGGGGCCAGGGATGCTGCTCTGGGGAGGCCCCAGCATCCCTCAGACCCAGACCACCCACCTCTCCCGACAAGCTCTCCACCCCCATCACCTCTTTTCTTCATCCGTAGAGATGGTATGTCTGTAGGGAGAAGAAAGATATTTGTGACAAAGCTGTGAAGCCTGAGGTCCCTGTCCACCAGCACACACCTCTTGGGTTGCTGTCTTGCAGTAGGGAAGGCAGAAGCAGCAAACAATGGCAGCTGCCAAAGAGCCTGGGAAGGCTCATGACAGGGAGGAAGGACTGTCACGCAGGAGAACCTGAGACGCAAGCCCAATCATGAGGCCATGGACAAGACCCAAAACTGCAAGGTGACCCCAATGACAGGAAGGGAAGACCCAGGGTTAGCAAGAATAAAAATGCCAGGGCAGGCCAAGAGCCCAAGTACCACAAATGAACCCTGACACTAAGAGGGAGCTGGCGGATAGGAGCGACACATGCCAGGGCCGCCGAAGGTGTCCTGCCCGCTGCTCACTCACTGCATCTCCTCCAGGTGAGCCAGCAACCTCTCAGCCACATGCCGCTCCCGGGCCTCGTAGCTGGCTCGGTCCCGCCCAATCCAGGGCTCCAGCTGGGCCAGTTCCTGTTCCCAGGGCGTCATGCCCATGAGCCGCTTGGAGCGGAAGTCCTCCAGCTGCCGCCCCACTGCGGCCTGCTGACTTTGCACCACCTCCTGCACAAAGCGTCGCTGGACATCCTCAGAGATGAGGTCGGGTCTCGTACGGTCTGTAGGGACACATTCAGGGGCTGGGGACATGTTTCCTGGCCCTCTGGCACCTGACTCCCTTGGACCACTATACACCCACCCGTGCACAGCGACAGCCACACTTCCCAGGGCTGCCACCACCACCAAGAAGGAATGAACGAATTGTGGCTTCACTCCTGGGCTGCCTGGAAGGCAAATCCCTCCCAGAGACCCTCCCTCATCCCTAGTTCCATCCTCTCCTCCTTACCAAGTTCAAAGGCGACATTGGGAGGGACTGGCACCCGCAAGACCTGCTCAGGGGAGACTGGAGTGAGGGGAGGCCCTGGGTGCGGACAGGGATGCAGCCCAGGAGGCCTGGTGGGAAAAAGGGTCTGAGGACGGAGGGCGCAGGTTGGCAGCTGCCCCAGGCCAGGCTGCCTCTGTGGGTACAGAAGGCACTCAGTACCCTCAAGGGCCAAGCAGAGGTTGGGGACAGGGTGCCTTGAAGGTGTCTCTCACCGCGGTCTTCTCCAGGAAGCTGTGGTAGAAGTCGAGAAAGGCCTTCTTGGCCTCTTTGGGGCCCAGTGAGCCCAACATATCAGCATGCAGGCAGCAGAGCTGAGAGAAGACACAGAAGGTGACTCTCTTCCCTCCCAGCCCCCAAAGCACACTCCCCCTTGAGTAGCCTAAGGGACTTAGGCTTCAAATGCCACCTCCTCCCTGATTTCCACCCTCACCACCCAGGCCCTTGTCTCTCTCGCAGACACTCAGGTCACCACCACAAGCATTTTCTGTCCTATGTGGTTCTCTGCTTGGGATCTGAGGGCAGGAAACCTGTCTCCACTATACTCCACGGTCTAGAAATACTGCGAGCAACTCGGGGGCTTGTTTGTGTGTGGGGTTGGGTTGAGGGGCTGGGTGCACAGTGAGGGCCTTGCAAGTAGGTGAGGAGAGAAGTAGGGAGGGCTCACTCCATCATCAGCAGGCATGTCCTGAAGTGCCTGTGTGCAGCCCTGGACTGGGTGATGCTAGCAATGTACCGAGGAGTTCAACTTGTCCTGGCTCATAGGGGTTCAGACATGACCTTGTATGTCTGAAAGATTTACTCTGCTGTTGGCAGGACTCTCTCTCTCTCTCTCTCTCTGTTTCTTTGAGACAGGGTTTCACTAGGCAGCCCAGACTGTCTTAGAACTTGCTGTGTAGCCCAGCTGGCCTTAAACTGGTGAGACTTCTGCCTCCGCGTCCCCAAATGCTGGGATCATAGGTGTGTGCTACCACGCTCAACTAGCAGGACTCTTTCTCTTCTTTTAAGCAGTTTCACCAAGTGTATGTCCACTCTCCTAACCCCACTCCCAAAACATAGCCTGGGTGAAGGAGCTGCACAGACAAATCTCAAAATGGCAAAGACCATCTGGGTCACCTCTTGAGGCCTCAGTTTCCACATCTGTAAAACCATATGGCGTCAGCACAGCCCCTGGGGTAAGGCCCAGGAACTGGACTTTACATTCTAAAAACCCCAAGGCTTGGGTGGAGGACCTCTTGCCAAAGGGCCAGAGCCTCTATGCACTAGGGAAAAAGAAGCCACTTTTCCAAAAACTACAGATAGGAGAGATACTGGGATGTCTCAATTTTCTGCCAGTCTCTAAAGTTTTGGCGTCAGGAGAGTCAGCCTAACTTACAGTTCACATGCCTTTCTTTCTGCGGGTGTTCCTGCCTTCTTTAGTCTCCTAGTTTTCTGGAGAGATCCACTGTGTATTTCTACGCAGTTCGGCATCCCGGGCTAGCTATCCCCTGGCTCGTGGCCTGTGCTGTCAGTCTTGGGATGAGACACTTTCTAACAGGCGTGCCCCTACCATCCAGTGCTTTGGCTTCTCCTGTCTAAATCCCTGGCTGGGATGTCTGCAGGTGTTTCTGGACAGCCTGGTCCTGCACGCGGAACTCCCAGGAACCTTCTGCATAGTGTAGGAGGTTTTTGGACTAAGTTACATCCTGCCTGCCTGGGGCTGTTTGGGAATGTTTTCTTGCTCTAGATCAAGGCCTGCTATGTGCTCTAGGCCTGGAATGGCTAATAGCTTTCTCCACAGCCTCAACCCTGAACATCTGACTGGTGATGCCTGCTGAGAGGGCATAGCTGATGCCCCTCCAGAATCCAGGGTCAGAGCGCTGTCACTGATGGGTGATGCTGCCACAGGCACAGAAGGGGATGGACCATGATTTCTACCAGGCTATGGGTTCTCTGTTGCTGTCTGCATGGCCCTGCTGCCCATACTCTCTGTTGCACTCGCTGCTCACTAAGGTTTACATGGAGCGCCTGTCTAGTGTGGACCGCAGGCTTAGCTCTCTGGCTCTCATCTGCAGTGCTATTTCTAGATCTTGTGCTGTGTGCTCTGGATCTGGTTTCCCACACCCTCCCAGCTGACTAGCACTGGTCTAGCTCACTGAAAGCCCAGTCTGTCCCAGACTCACCCCTCCCTTGCCTCCGCAGCTGCACCCTTACCAGGGGTCCCGGCTCAAACTGCAGTGCCACGTGTTGCAAGAGGGCCATGAGGTGGGCAGGACGCCGCTTCACCTGCTCTAGGCTCTGGAACTGGCTGCTTTGCTCCTCTGAGTTCTGGGAGTGGGAACAGGGGCTGAATGTCATGAGGAGAGAAGAGGGCCCTTGGGCTTGACCCTACCTTGCCCCTGGAATCCCTCGATGGACCCAAGATGGGAAGATCCTCGGAGTGGAGAGCGGTGATATGTCTACACCATAATGGTAACAGCTGGTTGATAAGGATGGATGAGATCGGAGGTTATATTGCCAAGGAGAGAAGGAATGGGGATCCATGCAGGGAGAGGCCACAATAAGTTGGGGCCACAGCAGCAGGGTGGGAGTCTATGCTGGACCCGACACATAGGAGGGGTAGGAGGATGAAAGCAGGTACCAGGAAGATGACAGAGTCAGAGATGGGCTGAAGGACACATCTAAGAAGAGAGAACTGGACCTGCAGTGGTAGGGCCCCCCTGCCCCCCAATTCCCATCCTATCTACTCACTGTCTCCAGCTCGTTCTCAAAGTCCTCATCCTCAGCCCCAATGATGCTGATGGGCACCAGGCCAGGCCGGGGGGGCCCTGGGGCCTGCAAGAAGGGAAGGGATAGCTTCAGTCCACAGGGCTCCCACCTCACAGCCCCCCAATCCCGTCATCTTGGTATGCTCTCTCCACACTCACTCACCGCCCCTCGGGCAATGTCTTCCATCTCCAGGGCTCTGCAGGGAGAGGAGGGGCTGCGGTTAGTGGGGGAGGAAGCAAGCAGCATAGGGCATGGGGTGGGTGGTTACTCACAGATTCCTGGCCCAGGTGTGAAGGTGAATAAACAGCCTCCCCCACCAGGCCTCTGCAGCTCAATGGGGCCTCTGTGTGGCGACAAAGAGCCCTTCACAGGCCAGCCAAGGGGCGGGCGGCCCAAGGACTGGTGCCTGGGGGAGGAGGGGGGTATGGGCTGGATGCCCAGGAGCCTGGGTCCAATGGGAGAGGTGCAGGAGAAAGCCTACAATTTGGGTCCCTAAAGGAGGAGGGACCAGGGGACTGGGAGTGGTCCCAAAGGCGGCAGGGCCTTGGGGCAAGCACAGTTAAAAGTCAAGTTTAAGGGGAGGTAGGCAGAAGCCTGGAGTGTAGGGGGCTTTCCTCTGATCTGTGACAGGCCTGGGCCAGGATGTTGTCTTTGAACCCACCAGCCCCACTTCCTGTGACAGGAAGTCACAATGGCGAACCCCCAACCCTCAACTCTCTCTACAGCATAAAACAACACTCTGAATCCTTCTCCCACAGAGACCTGGAGCCCCAACCCAGAGCCCTCAGGAACCTCCTATCTTTCTCGGCTCCCCAGGCTTCCGGTCCCAACAAAGTAAGAGAGGTGTCTTCAACACCTGCCCCAAAATGTGTACATTTTCCTCCTCCAGCTTGCTTGCACCTGCCATCTCTCCATCTCTCCCTGGGATGTGTGGATTCCTCAGTTCTCTTTTCCTACCATAGTCTCCTCTCCCTCCTTCTCTTGTTTTCTCTCTCCTCCCTACCTCTGGGCCCTAGTTTTTCCTCCCCAAGTTTCTGTCTCAGCTATCTCTTTCTTGTGTTGCTTTTGGCGGTACTGGAGTTTGAATTCAGGGCCTCGAGTTTGCTAGGTCCGTGCTCTACTACTTGAACCATGCCCCAGTTCAAGCTGTCACTTACCTGTTTCCACCCCTTTCTCTTTCCCCAGCTCTAGACACTTTCCTCATCTTTTTCTCCTCTTCTATGTCCCTAATTAGTGGGACTAATACTGTGAGGAGTTGTGTCAAAGGGATCCTGGAAAGTGGGGTGGAGTGGACCAGCAGGGGGCAGTTTCCCATACCCCAAAGATATTTATAACTCTCTTTGCCTGAGACCCACCTTCCCCCTCTTCCATGGGCCTCCTCCCAGACACTCAGTAAGTAGTAGCTACAGTTTGATTCTGATTACTAAATAATGATGTTTTTCTAGAGTGCCAAAATGCTATTGACGAGGGTCCACCCCAGGAGGCACCATCTTCATTCTTTTCCACAAAGTATTATCTTTCCATCATCCATGCTTAGGTCATCTCAAGATCTGAGCATTGTTAAATGTTTACATAAATAAATTTGCAAACCAAGGCAGAAAGACAATAGTAATTATTTATTGTGTGCTAAGTAATTATTCCAGTGTGCTAAGTATTGCTCATAAGTGCTTCTCATGTACTAACTCAGTTACCCCCACAACCACAAGCACCCCATGCTATTCTCATTCCCATAAGAAACAGGGATGTCTTCACCAGGACAGCAGATGTGACCTCTAAGCTGGAAAACATGACCACAGACATGGAGGGCTCATGCTTATTTCATTGAGGGGTGAACAAGTTCAACTAAGGCAGGGAAATCCCAAAGGAGCAAAGGAGGGACTGGGGGGGGCGGGTAGACGAGTGACCCAAGTGGAAGAGCGCCTGCCTAGCAAGCTTGAGGCCCAGAGCTGAAACCCCAGTATTGCCAAAGGTTGGGGGGTAACAAAAAAAGGAAGAACATTAAAGAAGAGAGAGCTTAGAGAAGGTAAAATACAAACTTCTATTTTGTGCCCGCTTCCGCAGCACATATACTAAAAATTGGAATGATACAGAGATTAGCATGGCCCCGGTGCAAGGATGATATTCAAATTCATGAAGCGTTCCATTAAAAAAAAAGGCAGGGACTGGTAGAGCGCTTGCCTAGCATGTGTGAGGCCCTGGGTTCCATCCCAGTGCTACAAAACAAAAACAAAAGGGGCAAAGCACTGAATCCTTATTTCTCAACACAATAATAAGAATAGCTAACACTTCAAGTGTACTTAGTATGTGCTGCCTTACGGGTGTTCACTCATTTCATCCTCTCAATGACCTCATGAGGCCAGTAGTACTGACTTATTTTATTTTATTGTGGGGCTTTTTTTTTTTTTCTTGGCAGAACTGGGATTTGAACTCGGGGCCTCACACTTGCTAGGCAGGCCTTACCACCTGAGCCACTCCTCCAGCCCTTTTATGTGTTGGGTAATTTTGAGAGAGGGGTCTCACTTTTTGCCTGGGCTGGCCTTGAACCTTGATCCTCCCCGATCTCTGCCTCCTGAGTGAGCAGTTAGGATTACAGGTGTGATAATAAGCAGGCAATCAGCTTATTATTCTAGTCCCACTTTATAAAGGAGGAAACTGAGACATGGCTCATAAGGAACAGACCCAGGTAATGTGGCTCCAGAGTTTATGCACTTAACAGACTCTGTTGCTTCAGAGCATGGGGACTCCCCCCCTCCCTGCCACACATACAACTCTACCCTTAGGAAGCTACAATCTGAATCAAAGCTCTGAGATACAGCAGGTCTTATGGTGCCTGGGAAAGCCATGGCCATATGGTCACTGTGGCCTGGGCTGGAGTGCAGTTGACCTGGCTGCTCCATAGAAGCCTGGGCTCAGAGAAAATTGGGATTGGGGGTGACAGGAACTGTTTGATGTTTAGGACATGGGGAGTGTGGGGGTCCCGACAAAGTCCGGGGAAGTTATAGGTGAAACTGTCAGAGATTGTTCTCTAGGCAACTGACAGCCTAGAGTCCAGTAGAGGGAGCACTGTGTACAGTCTTGGAGCAAAGTAAGCACACATGGGTGCCAGGGTTCTATGTAGGGCTCAGGGTCTTTAAGCTATTGAGGGATGACCCAGGGCCTCCAAGAACCTTTGGGAGCTTTCAGGAACCTAAAAGGGTGTGCTTGGAATGCAGACGGCCCCAGATTCTATTTAATGCACGGTGGGTCAAAAGTATCCGCGCATTACAGGGATCATTATTCTATAGAGAAAGTAGACGGTTTATAGTTATGGTTTATGGGTGCGCAGAATTCTATAGGGTTGTGTGATGGGTTCAGGAACTAGGGTTTATATAGGGTCCCGGTTTCAGGGAATGCTACTGATCTGAGAGAGAAGCCGCGTTTATAAGAAGCGGGGTCTCTAGGGGAGGCTAGCCGGAACCTGGAGGGTCTGCGAGACTTTGTAACCTATGTGGAACGTGGCGGGTCCACACCAGCCCGAAATGCTACAGCGGATGTAGCGCTGTGCACAGCCGGGGATGCCGGGGAAGACGTGCAGAGACAGGGTCTGATGCCTGCCAGGGGCCGCGTCCCTCACCTGCTCGGACGGGAAGAGAAGTCACTACAGCCGCCGGAACCAAAGCCTCCGCGCGCGGGCTCCGGACTCCCCCACCCGCGCCGCCGAGTCGCTCTAGCCGCCCCAGAAGCCACCTTTGCGCCCAGCTCCACTTCTCCCGACGGCCGCTCTAGCCCGCCGCCAGCCCGGGTCCGGCCCCGGCAACTCTACTCCTCCGCCGGACGCTCTAGCTCTCCACCGCGCCACGCTGGCCAGCTAGGGCCGCTCTGGCCTGTCTTGGAGGTCTGGCGTTTCCGTATCTCTACTGCCCCTGTCACTCTCCCAGGCCCCGCCCACCTTCCACCCCCCTCACGCCGGAGCTGCGGACCGTTCCAACTCCTAGCTGGAGCTCGAGCTCAGGTCTCCGAGTCGAACCGAAGTCCCAGGTCCTCGCACTGGGGCTCCCCGCCTTCTTGCCTCCCCACCTCGTCATCCAGTTGAATTCCCAACTCTCGCATCAATCAGTTCCCTCTGCCATCCTGCCAATACTTTCCGCTGGAACTGGAAAAGCAAAACTCTTGCCCTTGAGCGTACCTTTCCCTATGACATCAGAGTGACCTGCAAAAAGCAATGACCTCTTTCCAGGCCTCAGTCTTCCCATCTGTACAAGGCGGAAAGATTTCCAGCTTTCTCCTCTACACCATCTCCCAGGGCATAATTAATGACCCAGAAAAGAGCTTTCGGAAAATGCTTTCAAACGCGCTCTGCAACACTCAGCCTCACAGGGCCCCACGGTGTTATTGTTGTTTGTTTTTCTTTTTTAGGTGGCCCCAACGCATGCAGGGTTGGAGGACAGCGCTTAGCAGGAGCCACCTTCGAGTTCATTTCCCAACTGAACACTGATTCACAAAGTGTGTCCCTGGGACGAGCCAGTTCGGTTCCCCGGGCCTCAGTTTCCCCACCTCTAAATGGGTGTGATCATCGGTCTTCTATTGAGCAGTTGGGCGCTTGACTCCGACCTCGGATCGTCCATTCCCACCTACTGGATGGACACTAGGCAAATGTTAGATCTTTCTTTGACCCCTTTGACAGATGGGAAAACTGAGGTCCCAAGAGAGGAGGCCGCTGGCTCAGTGTGTCCCCGAGGAGGCCCCTCGGCCGCCGGCAGCGCCCCGGTCCCCTCCCTACTCCTCCCCACTTCTCCTGGCAGCCGAGGGGAGGAGGCCGGGCGGGGCCGGGGCCCGTGTACCTGGTGTCCGCGCGGGGAGGCGACCGGCGGGGCCCCCGAGGTCGGGCTTGGCGATCCCGGGCCCTGCGTCCAGGCTCCCGCTTCCTGGCTCCGGCGGGGCAGGAAGTTGGGGCGTTTTTCCGGAGGCCCCCGCCCGCCGCCCCTCCCGGCTTCCTGCCTGCGCCCCGCGCCCGCCCGGCACCTCTGCTTCCTTCCCCCTTCTCGCCACCCGCCCGGCTCCTCCTTTCCCCGCGGGCACCCGCCCCGCCCGGCCCCGCCCGGCTCTCCGGAGCCGCTTTGTCCGTCTGTCCGCGGTCAGGGCGCGGTCTCGGCGATCATTGCGTCTCCCGCCCGGGCCCGCATTGCGTCGCCAGCGGGCGGGGACCCGGGCGAGACCCACACCGTGCGCCCCAGCCAGGCGCACAGCGAGCCTCCTGCGCTCCGTCTCTGCGCCCTGGCTCTTCCTCTTTCTTCGCCTCTCTGGGCAAGCTTCCCTCTGTGTCCCTCTCTCTGGGTCACTGTCCTTCACACCCTTCCTCGGGTGGAGTCCTGGCCTCCTCTGTCCCTTTCTCCCTCTGCACCCTGCTCTCCCCTCTCTGGCTGTTACCTTTCTCATCCCCACCTCATGCTCTGACCCTTCCCCAACTGTTGCTTTTTCTCCATCTTGAAGGGTAGCCTATCCGTGTCCGGCTTACCCAGGGCCCTGCTTTCCTGGTCTGTCTCTTCCTTGTCACCTCTCTCTGCCTCCATACCCTGTCTCCCAGATTCCCTGTGTCTCCTCATTGTCTCTTACTCTACTTGTTTTGTGTCCTTTGCTGCCTCTGTGTCTGTCTCTCTCTGCTCCCTAGCTCAGTGACTCCTTGTCACTGTAACTCTGTGTTACTGTTCCTCTTTGTCACAGCACCCTGAGTTTCCCACCATCCTCCAGTTAGGGCCACAGACTCTCCAAATCCCCATGGGGAAATTTGGTACCAGCTCCACAAGCTAGTCCCCTGTGTTTCCAGAGCTTAACTATGCATAAAAATTTTGTTTGCCACAACCACCTCTTGGTGGTCCCCCTTTGCTTAGGACATGGGGAGGGTGAGGCACTGGAAGGGGGCCAAACCAGCCCCTCCATTGGGGTGGGGACTTCCCCAAGAGACTTCCTGTTTGTCTGGGGAGATGGGTGTAGCCAAGACTGGCTACCTGGTACCAGGTGCCTGGAGTGGGCAAGTGACTGGGCCCAGATTCCAGGGTTCCAGGGAAGAAGGCGGGGGCAGTGCTCATGAGATCCATGACTCCTGCCAAAGTCTGCAGTTGGGAAGGATTTATTATCACTAAGTGGCCATGACAGGGCTGGGAGGAGGGGGTGACACTAACGAGGCAGCTGCAATCAGCTCCCCCAGAGGCAGCGATTAAGGGCTCATTACCCACTGGGGAGGGAGCCTGGGAAAGGCGGTAAGGGAGGGCTGGGTTAGGTGGGGGGGTGGGGCAGCCTCCAGGGAAAAGTGGGACACTCCAGAGGGAAGGTGACTCAGAAGTTCCAGGGGAAGAGGACAGGGAACATTCCAGGGGGATGAGGGCAGACACTGGAATCCCGCACACAGCAGGCAGGGGCAGCCTGTGGCAGGGTACGAGGGTGATCATGGCTTTTCTAGCTGAACATCGCCAATGTGGAGACTGCCCACATCCTGGTAGGTGCCCTGGAGTCCCCTGGAGATGTCCTCGTACATGGAGCAGTCGTCCAGGTTCAGACCCTGGGGGGGGCATGGGGCAATGGACATCAGTATCCTGACACTTGGGGTCTCTGCCCCCAAGAACCCCAAGGTGGAATCCCATGCAGACCCCCCCAGTACACCTGCCCCTACTCCAACCCCATTCTCTGCTCACCTCATAAAGATTTTCATCTTCATAGTCATCTTGGCCATCCACCCCGAACTTCTCATTCTGCCAGCGCTTCTGTAAAGGGTGATGAATGGGGCGAGACCCAGTGAGGAAGGGGAGGCAAATAATCTTTCAGACCCTCCTAGATGCCAGGAGGTGTTTTCCAGAAGGATAAGTCCACATATTGGGGGCGGGACATGGCAGGTCTCTCTAGGCCCAAAGCTAATGTCCTTTTGTCAACTTCCATTGCCTTATTGTTCTCCATATATGACAACAATAACAGTAAATAATGTACAGGGTGTGGTGTTGCACGCCTGTAATCCCAGCTACTCATGAGGCAGAGATTAGGAGGATGAGATTGGAGATCAGCCCAGGCAAAAATCTAGTAAAACCCCATCTCAACAAACAAGCTATGTGTGATGGTTCACATCTGTACTCCCAGATGTGGAGTACAGATGAGGCAGAGGTAGGAGAATCTCCATCTGAGACGAGGGCCCAGGCAAAAGCACAAGACCCTATTTGAAAAACAGACTAAAGCAAAAGGATTGGTGGAGTGACTCAAGTGGTAGAGCGCCTGCCTAGCAAGCATAAGGCCCTGAGTTCAAACTCCAGTGCCACCAAAAAAAAGTAAAAAATAATAATTGCCTGGTGGCCTAAGGAGACACCTGAGGAGGTGACTCTGCTCTTGGCTACATCGATGGGGGATGGCAGGAGAGTGAGAGCATTCCTAGGGAGGGGCAGTGGGGACCTTTCCTTATATTAGCTCATTTAACCCCCAAAGCCCTGACTTTGGGTGCTTTCATTCTCCCACGATTTGGAGGGGGAACCTCAGACTCCAGAGGGCCAGCTGCAGCCCAGGCCTTCATCTGGCTGACTTGGGGCTCCTGGGGGGGGCTCACCCTGAACAACAGCAGCGTCCCGGGTACCACGGCACAAAACAGCAGGATGATGCCTTCCGCTGTGATGATGCGGTTCTTGGTGCCCTCCCCCATGTCCAGGAAGGGTCTGGGGGGCGGCTCTGTGAGGAGGGGGTGCTGCTTAGACCCTGGCATCCCCTACCCTTCCCACCTCGTGGCCCCGCCTTCCTGCAAAGCCAGACTCCTGAATCCCCCATCTTGGAGATGAAAACCTTAATCACTGCGCAATGGGTTCCAAGCCCAGGAGAAACTGTCTGGGTCCCTACTTCACAGACAAGGGAAGAGAGCAGTGTCACTCACCACGCACACGGAGGTAGGTGCCACAGGAGTGCCTCAAGTCTCCTTTATCTTCCACTCGGCACCGGTATATGCCCCCATGGCTCTTGTTCACCTTCAAGATAATCCACTCTCCCTGGGCACCCTGGCCTGGACCCAAGAACACAGGGGGCCACGAGTGGTTGGTCTGAAGAATCCGCCACCATGTGACATTGGGATTGCTGCCATTGTGCAGGCAGAAGAGGCGAGCATCGTCCCCTGTGCTCACTGTCACCGAAGGTGGTCCCTCGTGCACCCACAGGGCCTGGCACCCAGGTCCTGCAGAGAGGAGGGTGAATCAGACACTGGGGATGGTATCTCAGGCCCCAACCCCAGCCTCTGCAGTTCCAACACTTCTGGGACAGGAGGGGGTAGAATGAGGCAATTCCAGCTGGGACAGTGTGACATCTGAAGGAGAGAAGACATCCAGGATGGTGAGACACCCCTGGCCTCTCCTGCATGGCCCACTTCGTGCTTCAGCCCCAGCAGACTCTGACTTTTGGATGCCTAGTTTTCTGAAGGCCTTTGAGGTGGTCCACGGTGCCACTTGCAGCCTCAGGCTGGCCCTGTGCCAACAATTTCCCCTTGTATAGTCATCACGAAACCTTTAGAAACCTCATAATAAGAAAGAGTAAGAAAGAGGATGAATTTAATCAAAGTACATGCATGCATTGAAACATCATAATAAAACCTGTCATTTAGTATGATTAATGTATGCTAATGGTCAAACAAAAAAGAAAGAAGAAGAAGAAGGAAGAAGAAGGAGGAGGAGGAGGAGGAAGGAGAAGAAGAAGAAGAAGGAAGAACAAGGAAGAAGAAGGAAGAAGAAGAAGAAGAAGAAGAAGAAGAAGAAGAAGAAGAAGAAGAAGAAGAAGAAGAAGAAGAAGAAGAAGAAAGAAGAAGAAGAGAAGAAGAAGAAGAAGAAGAAGAAGAAGAAGAAGAAGAAGAAGAAGAAAGAAGAAGAAAAAGAAGAAGAAGAAGGAAGAAGAAGAAGGAAGAAGAAGGAAGAAGAAGAAGAAGAAGAAGAAGAAGAAGAAGAAGAAGAAGAAGAAGAAGAAGAAGAAGAAGAAGAAGAAGAAGAAGAAAAAGAAGAAGAAGGAAGAAGAAGAAGAAGAAGAAGGAAGAAGAAGAAGAAGAAGAAGAAGAAGAAGAAGAAGAAGAAGAAGAAGAAGAAGAAGAAGAAGAAGAAGAAGAAGGAAGAAGGAAGAAGGAAGAAGGAAGAGAAGAAGAAAGAAGAAAGGAGGAGGAGGAGGAGGAGGGAGAAGGAGGGAGGAGGAGGGAGGAGGAAGGAGGAGGAAGGAGGAAGAAGAAAGAAGAAGAAAGAAGAGAAGAAGAAAGAAGAAGAAGAAGAAGAAGAAAGAAGAAGAAACCAGGTGGGCTGGTGGAGTGGCTCAAGCTGTTGCATAGCAAGCGTGAGGCCCTGAGTTCAAATCCCAGGACTGTGGAAAAAAAAAAAAAAAGAAGCAGCAGCAGCCAGATGTCACCTGTAGTCCTAGCTACTTGGGAGGCTGAGATTGAGAGGATCATGGTTCAAGGCCAGCCTGAGCAAATAGTTTGCAAGACCTGATCTCCAAAATAACCACAGCAAAATGGACTGGAGGTGTGGCTCAAGCGCTAGAGCCCTGGCTTTGCAAGTACAAAGCCCCAAGTTCAAATCCCAGTTTCACAAACAAAAAAAAAAAAGAGAAAGAAAGAAAATCTTCCATTGTACAGGGGGCAACCTAGGCCTAGGGTAGGCAGGCTGCAAGCTGTTAAAAGTGGCACTGAGGCCCAAACTCCTAGTCTCCGGGCCTATCCCTGCCCCTGACCAAGCAGACAGTCCTGCTTTGGCCTGTCTCCCCACATTCTTCCTTTTCTGTAACTTGAATGTGTCAGTCTGTGGGTCAGAGGGTGAGTTCAGTTGGTTAGCTGGACATTAGATCAGGGGAGGGAGCTCAGCAGGATGGAGATAAGGGTGTCTCAGAGGGTGGCTGGGTGGCTGCGATGTCCACTCTGGGCTCCTCTGGGAAGTCCCAACTCTCAGCCTTCCCCTGCCCCCCGCTTCCAGGCTGGCTGGCAGCTCTCCAACTTCTGGAGGAGGGAGGTGCAGAGGTAAGGAGGAAGAGATTGGAGAAGGAGGCCAGACCAAGCAACCTCATGGTCACGGGCTTAAGACACACAGACATGAGCTCCAATCTCTGCTCTTAGCGTCACTTGGGTGAGCCATCTATCTCTCTGAACTCCTCAGTCGATGTGGTCACAGCCCCTGCCAGCTGGCCTTAGGCAGGGGAGGGGAGAAGGGGGGGTTGATGAGGTCAACCTCTCCCACTGAGAAGGGACAGCCTACACCCAAGGTGACTGAGATCAAAGGCAGAGAACGTGAAAGGTTTTTTTTTTATCCCCTGATGTTCTGTGCTACCCCCAATTCCCCTTCCTTCCCCCAGCCTTGGTGTTCAGTTAAGAGCCACCTCAGTTCCTTATTTCAACTTGTGAGGACAAAAGAAGGGGGATGGTGCTCTTGATGCCAATCCCCTCTGCGGAGACTTAGGTTTGTCGGTCTGTCAGTCTGTCGACTTTACAGAAACTTCTCAGCTTCACCTTGGCCCTGAGGCAGTCAGATCAATAGATGTGATTTCTACCACGGTTTCCATCTCCCCCTGTTCTACTCCTCTCCCCACCAAGCACCTTTCCCCATTCTGTGGTCCCTCCACCCTTCGGCCCACTGCCAAGCACCTGCCCTTCATTTCATCCACATACCCAAGCAGGCTGCCGACAGCAACAGGAGGAAGATGGTGGGAGGCAAAGCTCGGAGGAGGGCTTCTGGACCCCCAGGCATCTTCTCCCAGTGGGTTGGGTAGTCTGGGTTGTAGCAGCTTTGGGGGTACCAAATTCCACCCCAAACCCCGCCCAACTTCCTGTCCAGCCCTGCAGGAGATGGGCTCCAGTGGCTGTCACTGCTGGGCTCGCTGACTGTTGTAGGTTTCAGGCTCTGAGTAGAGAGGAACTGGCTGTCGCACCTGCTGTGGCCACAATTCCCCCGAGGTACAGCTGCTCTGGTGGGGAGGAGACTGGTCTAAAGCTTGGCTCGTCACTGTTGAATCTTGGGAAAGAAGCCTGAGGGAGCTAGTGTTCTGGGTGCTGCAGGCAGATCTGCACGGTGCTTCTGAACTTGGCTTCTGCCTCTCCTTGACCTAGGGAAAAATTTGTCCCCTCCTTGAGCCTTCAGTTTTCTTGCTTCTTGGTTTTAGAAAATGGAATTTAGAGGGTTGGTGCTCACAGCACTGAGCACGGGGCCTGGTCAGTAGTGAGTGCTCAGTAAACGTTAGTTACTTTTGAGGCTCACAAGAAATAAATAAGGCAGGGCAGGACACTCTCCCTGTGAGAGGTAGTTACTTCCCTCCTCTGAACCTTGGCATTTTGAGGGGCTGAGGGATGTGGTGATGGGGATAGAATCTAGGGTCTTGTGTTTGTTAGGCAAGTGCTCTACCACTAGCTATCCCCCCAGTCTTGGTCTTGACAGTTTTAATCCATGAGATAAGAAACAGAATATCTCCCTGGCATTGTGACATGTGTGGTGTTCTTAGTACCCACGAAGTTACAGCCATAATTAGTTCTTTTTTTCTTTCTTTGCAATACTGAGGTTTGAATTCAGGGCCTATACCTTGAGCCACTCCACCAGCCCTATTTTTGTTAAAGGTTTTTTTTTGAGATAGGGTCTTGTAAACTATTTACCCAGGCTGGCTTTGAACCACAACCCTCCTGATCTTTGCCTCCTGAGTAGCAAGGATTACAGGTGTGAGCCACAGGCTCCTGGCCATAATTAGCTCTTTGCTGGAGTTCTTTTATATTGGTGTCCTAGAAACAGGGCAAGGTAGGCATGTTCCACTTTACAGAGGAGGAAACTCAGTGAGGGAAAGTTGTCATTTGCCCAGTGTCATGGAGTCTGGGAGTGGTGAAGCAGGGATTCAAAAGATGATTCAAGTCAGGTGTGGTGGTGCATGCCTGTGATCCCAGCACTCCAGAGGCTGAGCCAAGAGGATGGAGAGTTCAAAGCCAGTCTAGGCTACACAGCAAGACTCTGTCTCAAAAACCAAAAAGGTAACGTGATTGCATGTCACCTTCTTGGCTGGGTGTGGTGGTGCACACCTGTAATCCCAAGTAAGTCTGGAGGCTGAGACAGGAGGATCTCAAATTTGAGTCTTGCCTGGACTACATAGTGAGACCCTGTTTCCAAGAAACAATACAAAAAAATGGGGGCTGGGATGTAGCCCAGTGGTAGAGCATTTGCCTAGCATTTGTGAGGCGCTGGGTTTGATCTGCAGCACCAAAAAAGACAAGACAAAAAAAAAAAAACCCACAAAAAATGAAAAAAATGGCATCATATTGTATATGCATGTATGAAAACAGAATAATGAAACACATTAAAATGTAAAAAAAAGTAGGGGAGAGGGGACAAGAAAGAGTAATAAATGAACTTGATCAAAGTACATTCTATGCTTGTATACAAATATAATGAAACCCCTTTGCACAATTAAAAAAAGTCATCTGTATTATGATTCTCAGGTTCCTTTTAAAAAAATTTTTGTTATTTTTGTGGTACTGGGGCTTGAACTCAAGGGCTACACCTTGAACCACTCCACCAGCCCATTCTCTGTGATGGGTTTTTCTGAGAGAGGGTCTCATAAACTATTTGCCCAGGCTGGCTTCAAACAGAGATCCTCCTCCTGATCTCTGCCTCCTGAGTAACTGTGATTACAGGCGTGAGCCACAGGGTCCAGGTTTCTCAGGTTCCTTTGAGACTGTCATTCTTGGCCAGGGAAATGAGGTCTGGGTGGGGAGGGCGGAGTTGTTGAGATATCTTTGAGCATTTAGAAGACTCTCACATATACATGGAGGCACAGAGAAAAATAACTCATTACAGAGAGATTTTTGGTAGGAAAAACCGAGAGACAATCCAAAACTCTATTTACAGAAGGGACACATCAATTGTGGTACAGTCAAGCAACAGAACAGCACAGAGTAGGGGAAGGGTCAATACAGTGGTGTGTCAGAAACAACTTGAGAATGAGAAAAACACAGTGTAGCATGATGCACTTGACTTGCTTTCAAAACACACAAGAATACTGCTTTGGGAGAAATCAGTAGTAAAAGTAGAGACCCACATGGGTGACTACCATTGAGTACTCCCATCTCTGTTCTGTTACTTCTTAAACTGGGTGGTGGGTTTTTGTTACACTGACTACTGTTTTGCATGCCTGAAGTATTTAATAGTCTAAAAACTGCATAGCCTGGAGTGGTGACACACATCTCTAATTCCAGCTACTCAGAGGCAGAAGCACGAGAATGTGGACTTCAGACAGCCTGGGCGAAGTTAGTGAGGCCCTGTCTCAAAAAAAAAAAAAAAAAAGACTGGCAGAGAGTGACAGTGACTCACATGGTACAGCACCTACCTAGTAAGTGTGAGGCTCTGAGTTCAAATCCCAGTACTGCCAGAAAAAAAAAAGGCAACTACCATCCATACAACAGAGCATTGGCCGCATGAATCAAAAGATTCTTGGGTTTGCATCTCAGTTCTGCTGACTGGTCATCTGAGCCTCAGTTTCTTCTTCTGTGATGTGGGTACAATACCCCTTTGTGAAGCTGTAAGAATTTTACAAAGCTCATTTTACACTCTCTAGCCAGACACATGACTCACACCTGAGAGACTCTCTGCCTCAGGAGGCAGAGATCAGGAGGACTGAGGTTCGAGGCCAACCGTAGCAAAAAGTAAGACCCTATCTCAACAAATAAATAAGCTAGGGCAGATGTGCTCATAGTGGTACAGTAATTGCCTAGCAAGAGCAAGGTCCTGCATTCAAACACACACACACACAGACATATGCACACAACAAGCCAAGCTTGGTGGCACATGCCTCTGGTCCCAGCTATGCAGGAGGCCACTGATAGGAAAATGGAGGTCTGAGGCCTGCCCTGCCTAAAAACTCAAGACTCTATCTGAAAAATAATTAAAGCAAAAAAAAAGGGCTAGGGCGCAGGTCAAGTGGTATAGTGCCTGCCTAGCAAGCAGAGTTCCCCTTCTCTGGCTCCAGACCTCTTCCCCCTTCCCTTGAGAAAACCAGCTGTTCTGTTTGGCCCCTGCTATCACTAGCTAGCCGGTCGCTACCCCCTCAACCACTGCGCTCAGTTGCACCTTATGATCCCATCCGAGGAAGCAGCACGGGTCCAGAGCTGGAAGCCCTAGGAATTCACCTTCAGCATCCTTTGGCAGCTTGAGCATGTTTCCAGACCCTTGACTGCCCCCTAGTGCCTGGAGAGGCGAAGCTGCAGGATTGTAGGTCTGTTCTGGCCCAAGAACCTGTCCAGGCACCTCCACCTCTGGTTTACCCAGCGCTCCCAGGACCCCGCCCTGGGCACTGGACTCTCACATCAGCTCTGGTAAATGTTTTTATCCTCACTGACAAAAACAGTAAACTGGGGCCAAGAATGCAGCATGCCTGCCCACAGTGAGGTGAGACCAGGGAACATCTCCCACCTCTCCCCCTTGAGGGACAGAGCACAGCAGCAGACTGGAGCAGGTGGCTTTCACCCCTCCAGCCTCGGGACATCTGCAAGATAACTGACTTACTTTCCCCACTCCAACATACAAGGCCTGTTGAACAACTACTTGATGGCAGTGAGGTTTGAACTTAGGGTCTCACTTGCTAGACAGGTGCTCTTGCCACCTTCAACCACTCCATCAGTCCTTTTTATGGTTTTTTTTCAGGTGAACTATTTGCTCAGGTTTTGAACCATGAGCCTTCTGATCTCTGCCTGAGCAGCTAGGATTACAGGCTTGCACTACTGGGTCCTACCTTCAATGTTAATACAAATTTTTCGGCACTAACAACCCGCAGCCTGGGAGGGGTAGCAGTTTCACTCCCTACCAGCTGGCCCACCAGCTTCTAGCCAGACTGGGATTTTCCTGTTTGTCTCCAGAGTGGCTGGGATTACAGTACCAGTCTTGGCTAAAATCTCTTAAACACAGCTAAGGCCAACTTTTTGTCTACCAGGGGTTGTCTGGAGCTTGTACTTCTATATGGTATCTTAATTTCCCAGAACTAAGCAGCATCTCTGAAGGATGGAAAGCTGAAGCAGGGAGCAAGGTGCACAAGGCCACATAGAACTAGGGGCAGAGCTGGATTCTACTTTTTGTAGTGCTGAGATTTAATTTAGGCCAGGCAAGTGTGCTCCACTGAGCCACTTCATCAGCCCTGTTAGAATTGGGGCCTAGATTCCTTGGACCTCCAATCTCAGGGCTTTATAATTTTACCTATCTGGGTCATTGGTCTGGTCCCACATAGAGGGTTTTCTGTGGACCAAGCACATGCCCACCAGTCCCAGTTCAGATCTCCCGCCTGACCAGATGCCCAATCATTAGCAGAGGCCTGCCCACCTTGCATTAACAACCAATCCCTACACAGAACTAAGGCTACAGTGCACCAAGCAGCCACACGGGGAGCTCGCAGTTCTGCTCAGGAGCCTTGCAGCCTGGCCCTGGACTAACTAGCAGCTACCCAGCTCCAAGCAGCAACTTCAGCAGCCCTCCCTGGAAACTCTGGAGCCGGGAGGACTTGCTAGGGGGAGGAGGAACACAGGCCACTCCCAAAATGCAAAGACAGGTCTTTCCTGCCCCAGTAGACATGTGAAACTGAGGTCCCAGGGTGCAGAAACATGGTAGACTACCTCAGGTTGCAAGCATTTAAGGGTTGCTTGAACTAGGACATCTGGAGAGAAGCTTCCTCTGTAGCCCAAGCCCTAGCTGGGCTGTTCCTTCACTGAGAAATACAAAGACAGGATGTGGGGGAGGCCTGGCCCCTGGCTCTTTGGGCTGGCCCGCCCCCTTGGGAGCTGAATCAGAAGCACATCTACCCAGAGACACCTGGCCCCTTTTACACAAGGATCCTTCCTCATGGCCCCAAAGAAAGCCAATCAAGACACCCAGACCAGGATTCTGAATGACGCAGTTTATTATCCCAGCATCCTTTGTTCTAATGCTTCTTGTTGGCGGCTGCCACCTGTGGGAAAAAGATGGAAGAGACAGAGAGGGTTTTTGTAGGGGTCCTCTGTAAGGACCACCCACTACCCCCCAGATACGAAATGCATTCATCTCATGCAATCCTCACTACGGTGGGAACTCCCATTTCATGACACATAAATTGGGGCTTAAGGAAATGTAGTTCAAGTCCAACTTCTGACCTTTCCCTGTGAGAGAAGGCCAACTATTAGCACTGATGTTTCTGACAGGCTCTGCACAGTCCTCCCTTCTTCTAGGCCACTCAACAACCAGAGGGCTGACCTCTTCCATTCTTCCATCTTCCATTCTTTTTTGACACATCCCTAAACTCCTAGGTCAAAGTCAATGACATGTAAGTAACTCATGGCAGATCCTAGGGGCTCCTGCTATAAATGCAGCCTGCGGAAGCTTCACAACCACTCTTCAGGACACACAGGAAGAAGATGCAGAGATGAAGCCACTCTGGCTGAGTGTCAACAGCCAGGACCTAGCCCTGAATCAACATTCTACCCTAAGCTTCAGGAATAAGGAAGCTAACCTAAGACGGAACATTATGAGAGGGACCCTGAGATCTCTCTTCTCCAGTACCCAAATTTCCAAGCAACTTCAGCAAAAACAAGTATTTGTTCTCCTGCCCCTGGGCTGTGCCCTACAGGAGAGGAAACAAGTCTTCATGTCAAGGGACTCTGGAAATGCCTAGGCAGTGATTAAGGGACCCGGTCCTGGCCACAAGCACAACTTACCTGTCCGGCGATTCTGTCTAAATCTCTCTGTCCCTGAGGTGTCAGCTTGCGGCCCCTGCAGAAGGAAGTCATATAGCACCTGGTGAGCCCAGGCTCTCAGCCCCCTCCCTCTTGGGCACAAAAGCCAGGTTTTCCAAGGGACCACTTGACGCCAGCCAAGTTTCAAAGGAGTGCCCCAGTCAGCTGCATCGTACAGAGCGGGGGGGGCAGGAGTGGGAGCCCTCCTGGGAGCTGACGGGTGTCGTTTGTGCAAGCATTAGATCAAAAGCCCCGAAAAATCAATTGGGAAAAGTTAACGAGCAGGCTAATGAAAGCGGACAGTCGCTAAATTACCTTTTCCAGAGCCTGAGGAAGCCAGCCAGTGAGGTTGGGGTGAGGCCCCTGACTGTTTGCTTTTCTGCTGAATCCCCTACCTGCCTCTGAGGAGTGGGAATCTGACAACCTCAGTAGAAGTGCTATGTGGGATGAGCACATGGCTCCCAGGCTCTCCCCTGCTTACCCATCTTGGTCCTTTTCCACCATTTTCAGCCCCTCTAGGGCTTGGAGGACACGACGGGCCACACTCTTGGAGCCTCGACTGAAGTGGCTGGGCATGACACCATTTCTCTGCCGTCCCCCGTAGATCTTGGTCATGGAGCCAACCCCAGCGCCACCCCGGAGGTACAGGTGCCGTGCTGTGGAAGCTGGGGGATAGGTGAGAGGGAGCCTGAGGACCAATCTTAGACTGAAGTTATCTCTTCTACAGTTGTAGCAACAGTCTTGCTCAAGGTCACACACATACAATTTGGTGAACAGTTAAGTCCTCATTCCTTTTTTTTGTTGGGTGGGACTGTGGTCTCAATTCAGGGCTTTGTGCTTGCAAGGTGGGTGGTTTACCTCTTGAGCCACACCCCTAGCCCTAACTCTCATTCCTTTGTAGGAAAGGAAACAGAAAAGCACCCTAGATCTGAGACTCCTCCGTCTCTGCAGTGCCATCCCCCACAACAGACACGGCCCAGTAGTTCTGGGCAGGCCCCACTACATTAGTGGTTAGTGCTCTGGTAGAGCTGAGGCAGAACCTGAGGCACTGTGAGGGTGGAGCCTAGTAAAATGTTCACAGAAACTGTGACCATTCTCACATGCCCAAGAGGCAGGAGTGGAGAAAGAACCAAATGCTATGAAGTGCACTGGGACACAAATCACCCCCTCCATGGGCACAGAGGTCTTTGCCCATTGGTGCCAGTCTCCTGGCTTGCAAAAACAGGAACCAAATGCTCTTTAGTAGGTCAGGTGACTGACAGCATGACCTTAGGCAAGCCATCAAACTTCCCAAAGGACCAGAAGTAGTATTTCTCTGCAGCAGATTACTCTCCTTCAGAGAAAGGCTCCAGAGGTGCCCCATGTCACCTGTCCTGAAGGGACGGTTGTGCCACTGAAGCCTGAAGGGATTGGGGGCTGAAATGCCATCACAACTTTGCCAGGCTGGGGAGCACAAAGGCAGGGACTGCTTTAAACCTGGGGCCCAGAGACCAGCCAGCACTCTGAATGACATCACTTTTCTGAGATGGGCAGCACTTTGTGTCTAAAAGGTGAGCAGGCTGCTCCTCCCTCCAGCTCCCCAGTCTGCTGTAGCTCCTGCTGCCCTTAGTTTTTTCTATTGTATCTTACCCCAGGTCCTGTCCCCTGTGACACTCCCTTGAAACTTACTTCAGTCCTGAGTCAAGACTCATTGGTAAAAGCATCCCCTCATCCTCTACCAGGAGCAATACTCCTAGAAAACCCCACTCTTGAGCAGCTCAAATACCCACCAGCCACTGCCAACCCCCCTGTACCTGTACCTTATCTCTGGGGAGGGTGCTCCCTCCACCACTCACTAGGGCTACACCCAAGGCAATCTCAGTTTGGGCTCAGAGCAGTCAGGCAGACAGGGTCTGAATCCCAGTACTGCCCCTTAGCAGTGACATGGGAGCCCCCAGAGACCATGGTACGAAAACCAAGTATTCACTTAAGCCCCGAGCAGGGACTCACAGCTCAGCAGCTTGTTTAACAGGGTTTAGGCTTCTCTCAGTGCTGCACAAACACCTGGTATGGAAAATGAGCCTTGCCAGACCGTTGTAACCCACAAAAAGGAAGATAAAGGCTATTTACTTCACAAACTGGAGGCTATAAGAGTTTCTAGAACTCACAGGAAACACTGACCTCTTGCCTATCCCTTTTCACCCCAGAACTGGGCCCCAGTGCAACACGTCTGAGCTGCAATGGCACAAATCCAGGTTTGATCACAAGTGGCTTCTCTGCCCTCCCACAGGCCTTCGCTCCTCTCCTAATCCTTGGGATGGTAGCCACTCTTGCCATACTCTTTTTGCACTGACCCCTCTCTGGCAAACTCCTGTGGAAAAATCACTTTTCTGACCTCCACTAAGCCCTTCCCTGACTCCATGGTACCCCCCAGACTCTATTCTTCCCAGAGAATAGGGAACATCAGTGATCCCTTGCAGCAGTCACAAGATCAGTCCCCACCCTACAAGCACAGTATGGTGCCTTCAGGTAGCCTAGCTCAACAAAGGCTCCCAGACACATGCCCACCAAGATACTACCCTTAACTCTCATCTCCCTTCTGAGAATTAAGAGCCCAAGAGAGATTTGAACAGGGTGACACCATGCCACCCATTTACAAAAGTTCACTGGGCTGTTCCAAACCTCCCTTTAGTGGCCTCCACTCTTTTGAAGTGTTTTTTTTTTTTTTATCCCTACCTCACTGCTTTGGGACTTCTTGCTCCTTTAGACTTGTCCTATGTCAGACTTCTTTATCCTCCACACCCTAAGACTAAGAGTTGTCTATTGCCCCACTGCACTCTAGCTTCAAACCCCTGAGAGGGCAAAACAGGTCAGTCACCACCATCTGGGGGAAAACAGCAACTACGCTTGGAAGCCAGTTGTGGACACAGCTGGTCTGTTAATGTTCCCAGGGCTGCTTTTATGTCAGCGTTCTGCACTGCAGTTTCCTCTGTGGTAAACAGATTCACTCCTATGACAATGACAAAAATTGTCAATATTAGTTGATGGACAAAACTGGGAAATGTATTAGGTTATAAATGCCAGCCAACTATCCATTGGGTCTGTCACGGTTTGATGTGTGGGGCAGCATTTATACAAAAATCTATACAGCAGGGCCAGAGACATAGCTCAGTGGTGGAACACCTGCCTAATATGTGCAAAGCCCTGGTTTCCATCCCCCAGCACAACAAAAAATACAGGATCCATCTCCTCATGCCACAGGGCAGCTGAAAGGCCTACAAGGGACCTCCTCCCAGGCTTCATGTGACACCAGGAGGAAATGGAGGATGCACATCCAGTGTGTGATGTCCAGGAAGGGCATGCATGAAAAGGACCAAGGCAACTGTCACATGTCCCAGTAGGCTCACCTAGGTTCATTACACAGGGGTCTTGACCCCATGTGCTAATTAAAAAAGAAAAATGCTGCCAAGAGAGAATGGGAGTCCTCTGCAGTGATGACAAGGTGGGTAGATTTTGGCATCAACAGCTGACAGACCCTGGACATATTACTAACTTTGCAGATACCAACTATGAATGTGGAAACCATGTAGAAGTTGTATCACCTCACCTAGTGCGAAAGCTGTTAGGTTCTTTCTTGCAGCCCCAAGCCCAAAGGCACCTGACATACCAATTCCTGAGAGCACTGCCAAAGAGCATTCAGGACTAGGTAGCCATGCTTCCCAAGACTGGGGTAGGGTGGAGGGAGTATGTTTCATTCACGCCTTGTCATTACTCTATGCTCAGAAATCACTTTCCCCTTACCACTTTCTAAAAATGTAGTGAGTGGGTGCACAGGCCACCCACTTCAGTGAAGCTCTTAGTCCCAAGGCTGTGGTTGAGTGCCCCAAACAAAGTGGGCCCATGAACATTTAATTAGGGACAAAAGCTACACAACATACTGCTTCATACTGTGAAGGCCAATTCACCTTGGACAGTCTTGAGATTTGCCAATATTCAAACTGTCCTATATGCTTATGAGTTCTGGCCAGGCTGGAGTCCCCACACCACAAAGGGAGAAGGCCAAAGATGCCAAGGCCCCTTAGTGAAACCCCTCCCCTCCCCCCCGGGGCTACAGGAGGGTGACAGCTTATAGAATCTTGGAATGTCCACACAGGTGACCACTGTGCAGTCAGAAAAAGTATTCACAACTCATCACTTGATGCCGGGCCCCAGTGGCTCACACTTACAATCTTAGTTATTCAGGAGGCAGAGATCAGGATTGAAATTTGAAAGCAGCACAGGCAAAAACTTAGCATCAGTCTATCTTGAAAAACCCTATCACAAAAAATTGGGCTGGTAGAGTGGCTCAAGGTGAAGGCCCTGAGTTCAAGCCCCAGTACCAGGAAAAAAAAAAAGTTTACAGCAAAGAATGAGCTGCCCAGATCCCTGACTACTTGTTTAAAGTTAACATGCTGGCCACAACATAAATAACGTAGACACGTGATTTTCCTTTTACTATTACCATGCAACATTCAAAACATAAATATTTTCACTGCATTAAACTCATTTAAATCCTCACAATAATCCTGTATTGGTGATCATTAGCTTTACCACAAGAATGAGGAAACAAGATACAGGTGGATTCAGCAAATAAAGTCAATTTAACAGAAATAATATATTTTTAAGTTTGACCCCACAGATATAAAAGAGATTTTGCCTCTTGAAATGAAACCATTTTAAGTAAAACATGAACACTTCCATTTGTTCCCAGACTTTCCTTACAGTTCAGTCTGAGTCACAAAATGTCATGTCACACATCGAATGATGTGAGTTTCTCCACTCATCACAAACTTGAGAGGGGGCAAGAAAGAGGGTCCCCCCCAGCTTCCCACTCCCAGCCCAATGCCTCACCAGCTCGCGTGTAGAACCAGTTCTCATCGTAGGGAGCAAGCTCTTTATGCTTGGCCAGCTTGACTGTGTCCACCCATTCGGGAACTTTCAGCTTCCCGGACCTAGGACCAAGATAGTGAGAAAAACATAAATCAGTAACCTCTGCTTCATTCCCCAAGCCTCTGCCCCTCAAGGATAACTGCAAGTTAACAAGAGAGGAACACATCCCAGCATGGAAACAGGCTTAATACACCCAACCCGGGCATCACGAGGAGGGCAGACCTCACGTGGAGGCCCCGCTAGAGCAGGGGAACACTAGGATTCTGGGGTGTCGGGTATAAGGGGACAGCCTCAGTCCTCTACTCACTTTTTGAGAAAAGCTGCGAGAGCTCTGACGAACTCCTGCTGGTTTACGTCTTTTACAGTAACTCCTGGCATCTGCAAGAGAAGGGCAAGCACGTGAACGCAGGCCTGGTGGACACGACTAACACGGGCCCGGGTCAACGTCAGCCCCGTTCCACAGCGTCCTGAACCGCAAACCCTGTTACCTTCCCAGATCCCCTTCAACTCCATCCCAACTCCTGAGGGTTCCAGAGCCCACCGGAGCCCGCGGTCTCCGTGGGCCGCACTACCCGGCCTAGCCCCTGTGGGTACAGCCTTTACATGATCCAACCCCTCAGCACCGCGATCCTGGGCACCCCAAGCACCCCTCTGCAGCCCACCAGGCCCTCTCGGTTACCGGACCACAAGACCGGGCATGTCCGGCCTGCAGCTCGCACGTGGCCGCGGCTCCAGGGTGTGAGGTGACCCCGCGCCGGGGGCCCCGTAGTCCTCAGGCACACGCTCCCAGGCCGGGTGGTCGGTTCCCGACGCCCCGCACCCAGTCCGTCCCGGAGCGCCCGCTTACCGTGCGGTCTCCACGCTGCAGGCCAGGGGAAAGGGAGCGACGGGGTTTCCCGGGCGCACAAGTCGGGCGTAGAGTCTCGCGAGAGTTCCGAGTGCTCGCGAGAGCGGGGCTAGAGGAAATGGCTCCGCCTCTCTCAGGGCGAATGTGGCTTCGTCTTTGCCTAGATGGGAGAATCTGTAGTAGGGGTGGAGAGGCAAAGAAAAAGGGCAGGGGGGCTGGGGGGAGCTGTATTTCCTCCCCGCCTTTATCCCGAGGCGGGGCTGATAGAGGAGAGATCACTCGTCTGGACTTGGGGAAAGTGGCTCCGTTTGTGTCCGTAGCCGGCAGGAACAGCGGTGGCGGACACTATGAGGGCTGAAGTTCTGGGGGAGTTGAGTGGGCAGAAGAGGATACCTGGCCACGGCGGGCGGCCCTTTTTCCAGGTGGAAGTGGTTTTTCCCTGGCCGGAAGTGGGAGAAGTTAAGGGCGGAACTGTGATGGAAACCTAGGGGAAGAGCAAGGAAGAAAGGTGGCCGTTGCTTTCCCTCCTGCCACCACCTGTGCTCGCGAGAGCAGGAGGAGCCGGAAGCTCCATCCTTGTCAGGGCGGAAGTTGCTTCAGATCCTCTGAGGCGAAAGGAATGGGAGTGACGCTTTGGAGGCGGGGAGGAGATAAGGGCAGGGACAAAGGGACAGAGGCGGGACCTTCGGAGGAGTTAGCTCAGCTCTGCCTCCTAGTGTTGGAGTTTGTTTGCTCAGTCCTTAAACTCAGCTTGCTCATTTGGATTTTAGGATTCGGCTGACAAACGTAACTTTAATCAGTCCATTTGTGCTCCCCCCATCCTCAACCCCGCCGCTTTACTTTCACCGACACCGAGTCCGACCATTTGTCTATTTGAAGTGACTCTCCCTCCATGGCCCGTCACATTAATTCTGGCAACAGATATTTTGAATTCTTACTCTGCGCCAGGTGCGGGCAAACATTTGGATGTTTATCACGTACTATTAGATGCACGACCTTACTTAAACCTTATGAGGTCCAAAAGTCAATGACCCTGTGGTCTAATAATACTGTTAGCTTGATGCAAAAAAGAAACATTCGAATGTTAAATTTATTTTCTTAAGTTGAAAAGACTAAGAATTTAAAAACATCATAGCAAATAATATAACATTTTTCCATATTGAGACACTAGGTCTCCAAAATGCTATAATTATTCACAAGCCAGTATGTTACAATGCTAATACCCATTTTAGACCTAAAATGGGTATTTTTTGTTGGCACTGGGGCTTGAACTCAGGGTCTCACACTAGCTAGGCAGGCGCTCTACCACTTGAGTCACCCCACCAGTCATTAATATCCATTTAAAAAACCTTGCGGCTGGAGGTGTAGCCCAGTGGTAGAGCTCTTGCCCAGCATGCGCCAAGCCCTTCCTGAGTTTGATCCCCAGCACGACAAAAAAAAAATTAATAAATAAAAACAACTATGCTTCTAACATGATAAAAGCATACATTTAAATCAGTTTTACATTTAGGTAGAAGGCTGTTGAAACCTATTTTATACTATGTTTTTTTCACTTATTTTTGGTTTTTTTTGGGGGGGGGGGGTCTCACTATATAGCCCAAGCTGACCTTGAACTCTGGATCCTTCTACCTCAACCTCCTGAGTGCCGCGATTATAGGCATGTACTACCAGGTCAGGGTATGAGACCTTGTCACAAAGAGCTCTCCAAAAATTAGTTTGGAGTGCCATACTATACAAAGGAAGAGATGGTGTTAATATAGGATTTTGGGAAGGGTGAAGCTGCTCAGGTAAAATTTGTATTAAGCAGAGTTTTGATGGATTTAAACAAAGCAGAATCTATATAATGGGATTAGCATCATGTCTGGTTGACAAGCAGGCCCAGATTCCTGTTTCCTTGGAAATACAGGGCTAAGATAAATGTGCAAGGTTGTCTCTGGAAACCCCTCCTCTAAAGTTTTCTCTGGGTTGAAAATCATGATTGCTTCTCTGTGTCAGTTACCTCACCTAGACTTCCAGGTAAGGATGCCATTCTCTCTTTCACTGTGCTTTTGGAGAGCAAACTTTCTGATAGTCTGTGATTCTAGACAACATGGTTGCTCAGCACTGTGTCCTTGGCATTAATTTTTTCAAAAGGTTTCACATGAGCTGGGCGCTGGTGGCTCACGCCTGTAATCCTAGCTACTCAGGAGGCAGAGATCAGGAGGATAGAGGTTCAAAGCCAGCAGGGCAAGTAGTTCGAGAGACCCTATCTTGAAAAAAACCCATCACAAAAAAGGGCTGGTGGAGTGGCTCAAGGTAGGCCCTTAGTTTAAGCCCCAGTACCGTAAAAAAAAAAAAATTTCACATGTTTATTATTTGAGCCTATTCTTAAGTTAATCAAAGAAAAAGAAAAATCAAATTGATTCCTAATTTAAAATGCCCAACTGTCCAAAGTTGGCATTTTCAGCTTCATAGATTGAAATGAATCATTGACCATAAGAGCATAAATATGTGTGTCTTCTCCCACATTTCTTTACAGACCCTGCTTGGTTCTCCTCCAATATCTCCTCTTAGAATTGATTGTGTTACCAGCTTTACCAGCTTTCATCCAAATGCATTGGGGGAACAGGACAGATTTGCTTTTGTTTCCTGGCCAGGAATTTGCTTGGTTCCAACAGTCTTGTGAGAAGACATACTAACAAGCTGGGTAAAACACGCACACCACATGGTGGACAAAAGCAGAAGAGGGTTGGGATTAATTTTTATAGGTTTATAATGTGTGACCTTGCAAGAGGTCGTGATAGACTAGGCAACTGAGACTTAGGAAGTCACGTTACGGCCGGCGTCATTTTGGAGATATCCAGGTGCTGGCCCACTAGTGTAATAAACCTTCCTTTCCTCTAAAAACAAAGAAAAAGTCATGTTACTTGCCTGGCACTGGTGGCTCATGCCTGTAATCCTAGCTACTCAAGAGACAGACAGAGATCAGCAGGATCTCAGTTGAAAGCCAGCCAGGGCAAATAGTTTGCAAGACCCTATCTCAAAAAACCCATCACTAAAAAGGGTTGGTGGAGTGGCTCAAGGTGTAGGCCCTGAGTTCAAGCCCCAGTGCTGAAAAAAAAAAAGTCATTACGTGTCTAAGGTCACATAAAATAAAGCCTGAGCTGATATTTGAATCGGTAACTGATGACTGCTTAAAGGTCTTTCAGTAAACTCTAAACAGAGACTTTAAAAATGGTTTGGAGAGCCAGATATGGTGACCCAGGCCTGTAATCTTAGTAATCAGGAAGCAGAGGCAGGAGGATCTCAAGTCGGAGGCCAGCCTGGCTTACATAGTGAGACTTTGTCTCAAAAAAAAAACCAAAAAACAAAAAACTATACACATACACACAAACAACACACACATGAAATGGTTTGAGGGACTTGGGGTGTAGGTCAGTGGTAGAGGGCTTGCCTGGCATGCACAAGACCTTGAATTTGATCCCCAGCACTTCCCCTACAAGTTAGAGGCTGTGGCATAGTCACAGAACAGAATATTATTCAGTATTAAAAAGAAATGAAGGGGCTGGTGTGACACACACCTGTGATCCCAACTACTTGGGAGGTAAGAGATGGGAAGGATTGCAGTTTGAGGCCAACCTGGGCAAAAGGTGAGACCTCATCTCAACAAGCTGGGCATTGTCATACAATCCTGAAATTACAGCTGCAGGGAGGCACAGGTAGGAAGATTGAGGTCTGAGGCTGGCTGCAGGCAAAAATTTGAGACCCTATCTGAAAAATAACTGAAGTAAAAAAGGGCTTGGGGGCATGGCTCAAGCGACAGAGCATTTGTCTATCAAGTGCAAGGCCCTAAGTTCAAGCCCCAGTGTACCACCAAAAAAAAAACAAAAGAAATGAGCTATCAAATCATGAAAAGATACATGAAAGGAAACTTAAATACGTATTACTAAGTGAAAGGAGCCAATCTGAAAAAACAACATACTGTATTATTTCAACTATACTGCATCCTAGAAAAGGGCAAAATTTCAGAGACAGTAAGAAGATCAGTGGTTGCTATGGTTTGGAGAGAAGAGGGATGAATGGGAGTTGCACAGAGCAGGTTTTAAGGCAGTGAAACTGTTCCCTAAGATACTACAACAGAGGATACATGTCATATGTCTGTTAAAGCTGGTAGCATGTACTATACCAAACATGAACCCTAATGCAAACTATGGACACTGGGTGTGATGGTTGATTTTTTGGGGGAGGGTATTGGGGTTTGAATTCTGGATCTTGCCACCTGCACAGCAGATGCTCAATTGCTTGGCCCACACCTCCAGTCTGTAATGGTTGATCTTTTCTAAAAAATTCAAATTTTTTTAATGGTTGGTCTTGATTGTCGACTGGACAGGATTAAGAAACACCTAGGAGATTACTAAATGACACCTCTGAGTGTGTCTGTGAGGGCATTTCCAGAGACAATTATTACATCATGAGGGTTATGATCTAATGAATGGCTTAATCCCTTGATGGCATTATTGGGCCATCAAGGTAGGAAGTGGGGCTAGTTGGAGAAAGTAGGTCACTGGAGTCCTGTGCTTGGAGGCTGTATCTTGCCTCTGCTTCCTCCTCTACTTCCCTGCTCTGCTTCCTGTCTGAGAGAAGAAACTCCTCTGCCACAAGCTTCTACTGCCATGCTGTTTTGCCCAAGTGCAGGGAGCAAAGCAATCATGGAATAAACCCTCTGAAACTGTGAGCCAAAAATAAATCCTTCCTCCCTTAAATTGCCAGGTATTTGGTCACAGCAATGACAAAGCTAATACATTGAGGTAATGTGTCAGTGCAGATTCATTGTAACAAATGTATAACTTTGGTGTAAGGTGTTGATGGGGAGATTGTGTGTGTAAATAGGAGGATGGTATATGGAAACACTAATTTCAGTTCAATTCTGCAAACCTCAAACTGTTCTAAAAAAGAAACTATATTCAAAGAATGGCTTGAGGGCAGGCAGTTGGTCATATTAGGATTTGGGGGGGGCAGCATTTGAGTGCACTTAGGAGGAAAAACAATTCCTAAGGAATCTGACAGAGCCTGTTTACTCAGTCACTTATTCTAAGCTCCCAGAGAGGAACTAAACAGGCCCTGTCTTCTAAGAATACTTATTCTGAATGGAGACGGAGACAGACACAAGCACAACTCAAAGTGATCCAGTTTGTGAAGTAGGGGTCAAGAGCCTCTAAGGAACAAAAGGTCTCTGCCTAATGAGCTTAGCACAGATACTGAGTCAGAGCAAAGAGACTGATCTTTCTTTGGGGAAAGAGCTCAGAATCTCATGCAGGGCAGTAATTTCTAGGACTGCGTCTATGTATCCATATACCAAGGGTTGCAAAGTCAGCTATACAAAGGGACAAGAGTGCAGAATGAGCCTACATGTACCAGGAATGAGGATCTGAGTATAGCCTGGATAGGAATAAGTGGTTTGATGTTGTTTCTGCTTGGGCTAGAAGTGTGATCAAGCTTAGACTCAATTCATGTAGGGCTTAAGTGAAGAGAACGTGGATTCTCAAAGATCAGAATGTGAGATGCACTCTGGAAATAAAAAGTGGGTGGCTGTGGGGAGGAGTCTTATGAAGAGAGAGAGGAACAGGGAGGATGGTGCTTTACATTTGGAATCTCATTGGTTATTTCTGCAGTACCAAGAGGGTAAAGGGAGGAAGCTTAGAAGGAGAGGATTTACTCCTCTAGTGGACCAGGGCAACAGCTTTCCCTGCTCTGCAGTGGGAAGTGGGAGTGGAGTGGCACAGGAACAGTGCTACTAGAGCACTAGCTGAAACCTTTGAGGCTGGTCAGAGGCCAGCAGTCTATTGGCTCCCCATAGCTTCACCCATAGCTGCGGGTGAAGAGTGCCAAACTCAGAAATGTAGCAATGTGGAAGGCATGAGCAATTCTTAAATCTGCCTTGTTCCCAAGGCTGACCTCTGCAGGCCACCCACTCTGAGGCACCAATGGAGGAACTAAAAGATTTAAAAGATAAGTTGGCTTTGCTGATGGTATGACCTTACCAGGTCTTCACTGCCAGGCACTGAAGGGGAGGTGGGCTCTAGAGAAGTGAGAAGCCTGCTGTCTGCTGCTCTTGGTTCCCTCCCTCACTCCATTGCTTTCTCTTCTCTTTTCTCATGGCATCCTTTTTTTTTCCCCCTTTTTTGGTGGCACTGGGGTTTGAACTCATGGCCTAGTGCTAGCTAGGCAGGCACTCTTACCACTTGAGCCACTCTGCCAGCCCTCTCATGCCATCCTTTATCCCCAAATTACACTTTCTCTTTTACCTTTCCCAGCTGTGTGACCTTGGTGCACTACGGACCCTTGGTGAGCCCTGAGTAACAGTCTTAGCTATGTTGTATGTCGCAGTGCTTCACTGCTCTGTGACTATGTGGGCTTGGTCATCTGTCACTGGGAGAGCATGGCATAGCAAGCTTAGGCAGGTCTATTAAGGGACAATCATATATCTAAGTTATAACTAGGGAGTGATGGAAGATGTGAAGCAGACTTAAGTCTTTCCATATCTTACAATGCTTCTGAGAAGTGCTGCAAGTTTGTTACTCTGTAATCCATTAGGGAGAAGCAGCCCACCTTTGCAAGGCCCCAAATAAGAGAACAGTTGTTAATTTGATACCATTGCCATTAACCATCTTGGATAAAAAGAGATGTGTAGGTAATATCAGGAAAAAGAATTGGTGATCAGGAATGTCCCTTGAGCTTTCTATCTTGTCCTCCTATGGGCGGGAATGGATGGGGATTTCTAGGTCTTCATATCTTTGGAATAGTTCAATGACTTTCATATGTTTGGAATGGCTCAAGAAGGACTTGGCTGACAGCAGAGGACTAAGAAACAAATGCAGCTAAGATCTTAGTACTATGTAATGATAGTTGAGTAGAAAAAGAAACTTAAAAAAAAATCCTTCTGACTCATGACTGATCCCTGGAGTACCAAATCTGTGCTTTAAAAAAGTTATCTATTAATTCATTTGGGTTCTGGCAAGGAGAAGGAATTATCTCCTTATTGTTTTCTAGAAAATTTCCCTAAAATTTCAGCTAAGTCACTTTATCTCTTTAAGCCTGTTCCTTTATTAATAAAATGGAGATGATAAACAGTTTACAAGGTTGCTATGAGGATATACGTGAATTGAATATAGTAGGTACTCAATAAATGGTAATGATTGTCTCTAACTTTTATCAGACACATGAGCCTTTTTTTTTCTTGACAAAGGAATTTTCTCTTGATCAAGAGGGTGCAAGCATATACTCACTCCCACTAAGCAAACACGCAAGCACAAATGGCTGACAGTAGCTCTTCCTTATATCCCTGATACAGTTGTACCTGCCCCTCACACATGAACCTCTCTTGTGGAGAAAACTTTTTTCGTTTTTGGTTTGAACTCAGAGCCTCACACATGCTGGGCAAGTGCTCTACCACTTGAGCCACTCCACCAGTCCTTCGAGTTGGATGTTTTTGAGAAAGAGTCTCATGAACTGTTTGCCCAGGGCTGGTTTCAAACTGTGATCCTCTTGATCTCTGCCTCCCCAGTAGCTAGGATTGAACCACCAGTGCCCAGAGAGAAAAACACTCTCCATAAAGTCTAACTTGGTGTGGTACAGGGCTTGCATACCAAGCACGAGGTCATGAGTTCAAACCCCAGTAACTGCCAAAAAGAAAGGATGGAAAAGGAAAGACTTAGCTCTTCTTGTCCTGATTGGCTTCAGTTTACCCATTTGGAAAACAGCATGTTAGATTAGCATCAAATTAGCATTCCATTGACCAAAGCAGGCCTGAAGATATGTTTTATTGGGCCCACATAAGATTTAAAAAGAAAACTGTGCCAACATTTGAAAATTGAGATGATGGACATAAAAACCCATTTCTCTCAAAATATTGGAAATATGGCATATTTCTGCTTAGAACAATCCACTAAGGCCAAAAGGAGGCTGCCCCTTGGGTAAGCCATGCATTCTTAGTTTGCTAGCCACCACCATGATCTGCTTGGCCCTAGGTATTTCAATTTGCAGCTGTCAGGATAATAGGAAAATGTCTATGTCTGGCATAGAGCAGGTAATTAGTTGCTACATGAGGGAACCCTCCACTACCTTCCTCTATCACTATTATCTGGCTAAAATAAGAAATCCAAGTTTGTATTTACTTGTATTTATTTTTTGTGGGCAAGACAGGCTGGTGGTGTGCTCTCAGCAGACTGGAGAGGCCTCGGGATCCCACCTTGGGGGAGGGCATGTGGCACCACCCCCCCACCCTGTGGTTGTTTTTTAATAGATGATTTTTTTTTTTTGCAGTACTGGGGCTTGATCTCAGGGCCTACATCTTGAGCCACTCCACCAGCCCTTTTTAGTGATTGTTTTTTTTTTGAGATAGGGTCTCTTGAACTACTTGCTCAAGGCTGGCTCTGAACTGTGATCCTCCTGACCTCTGCCTCCTGAGTCGCTAGGATTACAGTTGTGCACTACTGGTGCCCGGCTGATGATTTCATTTTGAAAAGTGAACTAAATGTCTTTTCTGTTAGTCAGGATAGACTAGGTTAGGCTATGATAACAAATAACCTCCAAATCTTGTGGCTTAAAACAACAAAGGTTTATTTCTTGCTTACTCACACAAATCTAGAAACAAAATGAAAATACTCTCCTGTTTTCACATGCCCAGAGACAGACATGAGTGCATAGGTATATCCAGAACATGAACTCATGCAAAAAATGTACTTAGATACTGGTCAGCTTAAACTGCACAACTCTCTCCTTTTAGTGGATTTAAAAGGGTCACCATACCCAAGGAGGAGTATGAGAATATTCACCTTTGGTCAAGGAAATGCCCACACTACAAAAGGAACCAAAAGCTAACTGAAGCACCTTAAAAAAAAAAAAAAAGCTTGTACTATGTTAAATTTCATGCAAAAATCCCAAAGTAAAATACCAAATATGCAGTGCTTACAGGCTATTGCCTCCCTGCCTCAGTGAGGAAGCCTCCACCTCTGGGTTCTAGCTCAGGAGGGAGATGGACCCCAGACGCCCAATATGCAGAGAGACGGAGGGAGTTGGGCTGGGTCGGAGAGAGGGGCCAACAGGCTGGAATCCTCTTCCTCCAGCAGGAGCTATAGGCAGGAAGGAAGGGAGGGCCAGACCAGGTCACATCTATTTCCCCTCCCTACAGTTCCCTATTCTTACCCCATTCCATTCAGGCCTCGTCCTTGCTAACCTGGCTTACTCCTCCTCACTGGTTTTCTTACCTCCAGTTTTGCTTTCTCTAGTCCCTCCATCAAAGCCTCCACTTGTCTGTCTAAAGTTCAAGGTTTCTGATATCCCTGCCTAGTTAGAAACATTTCCTAGCTCCCCTTTGTGCAGTTGCTGGTCTGGACTTCTAAGTCTGGCATGACAAATCTCTACAACTGGAGGCCTCTCCTGCCTCATTAACCTGTTTCAGCAGTTCCGCTAAGCCAATCCACCATTGGAAGGAGGATTCTCAGCCTTCCTCTTTATCCCCAACTATCCCCACTCCTTATAGTTCCTCTGGTCTTGCTATTGACCCTTAGGAAGGCATCAAGATTCCCCAAGTAGAACGGAAGCTTCTGGGAAGCAGTTATTACCTCTTTCCAAGCCAGATTCTGGTTGTCTTCATTCCCTCTCCAGACTTTAGCAGGTAGCTAGGGTCTGGAGAGAGAGACTTGGACTAGAGTCAGGAGACTAGGGTCTCATTTTCCTTGATTTCAAGGCACTGCACATTTGTTGTTGAGAGCAAAACTGGTAAAAATGATTCACTGAACAATCCTAAATTGCAATCTCAGAAGCCAGGCTGAAGAGCTTGGAGGCCTGGTCCTGATGACATTCAATTTGTTGACTACCCTTCATCTCCTTAGTCTCTTCTTGCTCTAGTGATCTCCATTTCCCAACTATCATTATCCTGCCCTCTGCTTTCAGGGAGTAGGTTACCTGGTGGGCCACAGGGGTGGAGTAGGGAGATCCAGGCAGGGTTGGGGGGTACAGAAGGGGCCAGGCGGGAAGCCTGGGATGAATCTTTCAGACCCACAAGGGCCTCGGCTGCCTCCCGCTGCAACTGCCGCTCTGAGGAGGTCGATGTCCAGGCTAGGCGAGACGCTCCAGGGGCCTGCGAAGGAAAGGGACAGAAGTAGACTAGGAAGCCCCACTTCTGCCCACCCTGCAAGTGTTCCTTTGCCCCCTGGTTCCTTCAGTCCCTGTTTTTCCCTTCCCCAGGCTCAACTTCCTCCCTGGGTCCTGGATGCCACTTCTTTCCCAGGACCTGTGGCTGTAGCAGAAGAGAGTCTGGGGTGCCACAGGACTGGAATATCAGGGTCGAGCATCTAGAAACAAGGAGAGATGCCAGAGGATTAAACACATAAGACATGTACACATGGAAAGAGGGTCAGATATTCTGATCTGAAAATCTAAGACCCTACTGGGCCTCCGGACTTTGTGGGTTTGGGTAAGTTTTATCCCCTTCTCATGGCCTGCTTTGTTTTCTATAAAATGAAAATCCCTGCTAGCTTTTCCCTCCAGGCTATTGTGAGGATTACAGGAAATCATTGGTGTCAATTTTAAAAAAAGAGAAAATATCTAGAGAGACTGGGATTATTGTCCATGCTCTAGCAGAGTCTGGTTTCCCTCTCCCAGTCCTCCCTAAAGGTGAGCTTGGCCCACCCTCAAGAAGCTTTCTTTAGCCTGGTGCTGGTGGCTCATATCTGTAACCCTTCCTACCTACTCAGAAGGCAAAGATCAGCAGGATCACAATTCAAAACCATCCCGGGAAAATAGTTCAAAAATACACAACACAAAAAGGGCTGGTGGAGTGGCTCAAGTGATAGGGTATCTGCCTAAGTAAGTGTGAGGCCCTGAGTTCAAACCCCTGTACTAACACCAAAAAAAAAAAAAAAAAAAAAAGCTTTCTTTAATGGTCCCTGACCTTTCTCTTGTCCCTCTCTGGCTTTACCTTCATAGACCTCCATTTCAGGAGGCAATCCTACCCTGTCTTATCTGTTTAAGATTTAATAGCCAGTATTTTTTCAAGGTTGGGGTCTGTGCTAGGTGTATCCTATACATTATTGTTATATCAACCTGAATGACAATTATGAGAATCTGAAAGAAATGGCATCTTCCATTTACAGATAGAAAAACAGGCTCAGAGAGGTACAGAAACTTGGATCAAGGTTCCCAGTTAGGTAATGGAAGATCTGTTAGTCTAAGGCCTTTTCTTCATTACCCACCATGGTGTCCAGCACCGAGTTAGGCTCAGAATAAATATATATCTTTCTGTCCCTACTCACGTGTGGGGCAGGTTTGGGGGCCCTTGGGGCTCTCCAGAAAGAGGAGTCGTCAGTACCGAGCGAGATCCTGGGCAAGTTGGGAGGGACCCATGAGTGGGCAAGCGGAGGGAGGTGCCAGGGTCAAAACCTAAGGAAGGTAAGAGAATACAGCGTTTATAGGGCTCAGAGGTCACGGCTCTGTTCTCCCTCTACCTACCTGTGTCCTCTTCCTCCTCCCTTCTAATACAGTGGCAAATTGGCACCCAAAAATCTGTTGAATGTTGAATTATCTTCTCACCAGGGAAAGGATGTAGAGGGATAGCAGGTTCTTGGCATAGGAAGCGGCACACCACGGGGGGTGGCATGGAGAGGCCTGGAGGCAGCCAATGTCCAGGGCCCCAAGGGCCAGGAGGCACTGGAGTCCAAGGCAAAGGCAAGGCTTCTGGGGGACGGCTAAGCAGCAGAGGCCCACAGTTCTCCTGTAAGGTCAGGGAGCACAGGTTAAGAGTTAGGTGTAAGGCTGGAGAAGGAGTAGGCATGTTCTGGAATAGGACCTGAAGATTACGGGTAGGCCTTAATGTCCGATCCTCTTATTTTCCTTACAGAAAAGAAACGACTTGCTCAATATGTACATAGCAAGTCAGGGTTGGGGCTAGAACTCAGGTGGAGAGGAAGGGGCCTGGGCAGGAGCTAGGGTGGGAGCCTTTCCTTCAGGGTCTATATTCTTCTTACCTTCCCAGGGGGTGTCAGTGCCAGAGGAATTGCCCCATGGGGACTCTGAGGCTGTGGTGCTATGTTCTCTTTTCCAGCTGTAAGGGACCAGGGAGAGATATAGTGAGCCTTTTTTTCTGACTCTTATCCTACCCCTCAGCTCTCAACTTTCCTTTTTTGTTTGTTTTGTAGTACTGTGATTTGAACAGGACCTTGAGCTTGTTAGGCAAGCTCCAAAGCTCTCTACCATATGAGCCTTCCCCTTCCCCCCACCTCTTTTTGCGTGACCCTATTTTTCAGATAGGGTCTTGCACTTTTGCCTGGGGCCAGCCTCAGACTGCAGCCCTCTTACTTATGCCTTCTGCCACCCACGGCTCCTCTGAGCATTTTCTACCTGCAGATATCATTGCACCTTCCCAGCACTTGAATGCATTTGATGGTGTGTGGGGGGCTAAGGCCCAGAGAGTAGAAACACCTAACCCAAGGTCACACACCAATTCAGTGATAGGACTGGGACTTCTTTCCCTACTTATGCTTTCTACACCAATCCCAGCCACATTCCCAGTCAGAGACACTTACAGGGTATTCCCAGTCCAATGGCTCCCTTCTTGACACGGCTGGGGACTTTGAAAGGGGCTGTCCCTCTCACAAGTCCCTGAGCCAGGTGCCTCTTTAGCTGTGCCTCCTGCTGCCTGCGCAATGCCACCTGGGCAGCCATAACTCTTCGGCGCTCCCTACAGGGGGAAAAAAAGTGCAAATCAAAAGTCAGCCACCCTTCATAGGGGGCCCATCCTCCCCCTCTCCCTGGACCTCCTACTCACAGGATGAGGACACATTTGTGACACTCGCAAGCTTGAAAGAGGCAGAGGCGCTTGTGGCCCTTGAGGTGAGCAGTGACACCATGATTGCGGCAGCGGGCACAGGTTGGAGAGCGACTGACAGCTCTCCTGGGGATAAGCTCCATGCTCTGTGAGGCTCTGGTCTCACCCCCTGGGTCCGAGTCAACAGGGCAGTGGTGGGCAGCAGGTGTTTCATTGGGGTCCATGGGTCTAAGGGCAAGAGTGGCAGGTCAGGATGGCCCTAACCAATCCTTCTTTGGGGAGGCCACATCTGTGGCTCTTCACATCCTGCCCATTCTGCTCCCAGCTTTCACCTGTCTTCTCCTCTCTTCACCCCACGACCTTTCTCATGGATCCTCCTTCCTAAGAAGCCCCTCTCCTCTTTCCTTTCTTAGGTATACTTTCATTTTTGTGCGTGTATGTGTAATTGGGGCTTGAATTCCCGGCTTCATGCTTGCAAAGTAGGCACGTGCCAGTTGAGCCACACCTCCAGTCCTTTAGGTATGCTTTCAGTGCAGACAGCTTTCTTTTGTTCACCTGCACTCCTGCCCGTGATGAGTCTGCTTCAGGCATATGCATGACCTTCCCAGGCCCCCTCAAAGATGTCTGCACCTCCTGCCCACAAACACCCTATGCTATCCAACAGATTTTGTTGTTTTTTAGGTGCTTGGGAGCTGAACCCAGAGCCTTGAACATGCTAGGCAAATGCTCTACCACTGAGATAACCCCCATCCTCACCTTTGGTATTTATCCAATCTCTAACATACATACACACACATATACGTGTTTTATTTGTGGCCTCACCCAAGTACTCTACTAATCCAGCTAATTCCCCAAACCCTGGGGGTGGGGGGGGGAGAGTCGCTAACTTTGCCCTGCCTGGCCTCAAACTCTCCACCTCTTGAGTGGCTGGGATTATAGTGGGCACCACCACACCCTGCTCCTAAAAATATCTGTATGCTCCCTTCAATTCTTGGTTCCACAGAGGCAATGTTCCTTCAGTCTGATTTTGTTCTTACACCCCCAGAAGCGACATCATTCTCAGGGAGTCCCGGCCCCGCTTTCAATAGTTAACGCTCCTTCATTCCACAAATGTTCACTGAGTACGTCCTAATCTAAGCCAGAGGACGCCACTCTCTCCCTTGCACCCACAAGGCATCCAAGCTTCCACGCAAACCCATGCAGTCATCACGGCTGCACACAGGGCTTATCCCCCATACTCATTTCCAGCAATTAATCTCATCCATCCACCATTCCTCATGCGGCCATTACTCGCGTGCACCTCTCCCAGCCAGCCCGTCCCCCCAAACGCAGGGCCTGCGCCCCCTCCCGCTCCCGGCTCCCAGGAAGGGGTCAGGGCACGAGGAACGCGCCCAGGGGCCCGCGGGGTGGGGGGAAGGGAGAGAGGGCGCGAGCAGCGCGAGGGGGAGGCCAGGGGATGTCAGGGAGGGATCCAGAGCAAGAGTAGGACCAGAAGGGGCTGGGAGGGAGGGGTCGTGTTCGCGCCGCCAGCCCGTGGTTACCACAGCCTCGAGCGGAGCCAGACTCAGCCAGGAGAAGGCCCAGAGAAGAGGCGAGAAAGTGGCGAGAGGAACGGCTGCTCTCGCGCTGGTTTTCTCGCCCCTTCTCACAAGGACCAATGAGCTTCAAGCTCTGTCTCCTGTGGGCTGCGGCGGAAGGCCAATGCGGTTCTAGATTCTGCGCTGATGGCCCGCCCCCACCGCGTCGCTGCGCGTGACTATCAGGATAGCCAATAGCGCGTCGAGTTCAGTCTCCCGCCCCTTGCCCCTCCCCCCACTGTGGGTTGCCTTCCCAGACTGTTCTTCCCTTTTGGACGAGGTGGCCAATGGGGCGTCGAGTAGCGCCTTCGGAATCAGGCTGGCCCTGCCCACTTAGGAACGGCAGACCCGACCCCGCCCACAGGCGTTGTCTTAGACCGTCTGCGCATGCGCAGCCTCAGGCTTCTGGCCTGCGCTCTTTGTCCCCCTCCATTCTGTCTTCCCATGTCTCATCTTTTCAGAGAGTTTTAGCCCCTTGGCTTGCCACAGATTTCTGGGTTACATAGCTTATGCGTTCGTGGCTTACCAGGCTGAAAGGGTGGCAGAAGTGACTTCCACCCAAACTGCAGTGCAAGGGAGCTGTTTGAGATAAAGTTGGAAAGGTCGTTTGGGGCTAATCTGGGGATGGGGGGCCCGTCGTCAACCCTGATAGAGAGGCTGAACTTCATCTTTAAGGAGGGGAGGTGAGAGGGAGAGAAGAATCAGCATTTATAGAGTTTTGCATTTGCCAGTTCATATGAATAATGTCATTAATATAAGATGTAATATATTTATACTCGAGAAGGCAGGCTTACAGTGCCACAAATTGCACAAGGTCACATAGCTAGTAAGGGGAGGGGTAAGGAATCCAACCTCGGTCTGTCTAAGTGCAAAACCCATCAACGCCGTATTCCCACCTCCATTGTTTTAACGACTTCCACTAGTCCCTAGTTCTCCTTTTCATTCCCTAATTTTCCCACGAGCAATCGTTTCTAAGGTGGTGAATGTGAGCCTTTTGGTTTGCATGGGTTTTCCCAAGATGTATAGTGTTCCAGGTATATGAGCTTTAAATTTGGGCACCTGATGATATGTTATTGATTATTTGAAATAATCAGCTCTGTACTTCTGTGATCCATCCATGTACACTTGTGGACCTGTAATCCGCTGCTTCTAACTGCGGTGTGGCCTCCCATGATGGGTATCCCCTGCATCTTGTGCATTGACTTCTTTTTTGGGAAGGGTGGTCCTGTTGCCTCACAAGTCACTCACAGTAGTGCATCCTCATACACCCAAGGTGGAAGTTTTTGTTATAGATACCTAAGATGTGTCAGAAATGGGTATTTATAAACCTAATTTGACTAAGTGTTGTCAGGCTTCGCCCTGCAATACTACCTTGTGCTTGAGACACACAATTCCTCTTTTCCTCAGGGGTCCTGAAAATGGCCCTATCTACTATGCCCTGCACTCCCCCATGAGCAGCAGTGCACAAGGGTCTCTTTATCCCCACATTTCTGCCAACACTTGTCTTTTTTTTTTCCTTCAGCTTTCTGACTGTTGTCAGTTTGAGAGATGTACAATGAGGGTGCATTGCTCAGGATAGTTACACTTCCCTGGTCATTGTAGGGTCTGAGCATCTCATGTCAGTAAGCCTTTCGGTTTGCTTTTCTGAGGATTGTCTCTTTGTTTTTTTAAAAGTTCTGGTGATGGTGCTGGGCATTGAACCCAGGGTCTTGTGCATGCTAGGCAAGCACTCTACCATTGAACTGTATCCCCAGCCCACTTGAGGATTGCCTCTTCATATGCTTAGTCTATCTTCCTTTTCTTATTTATTTGCAGGAGACTCCTTGCCATTCTGATTGGTTTAAAGAGCCTGCTGTGGTGGCACATGCCTGTGATCCCAGTTAAGTGGGAGGTGGTGATTGGGAAGATCACGGTTCCAGGCCAGCCCCAGGGAAACAGTCAGCAAGACCCTATCTCAATAAATCAGGCGTGGTGGTCATGCTTGTAATCCCAGCTACTTGGGAGGTATAGGAGGATTAAAGTCTGAGGCCAGGGCTCTGGGCAAAATTTATCACCCTATCCAAAAAATAACCAATGCAAAAAAGGCTGGGGGTGTGGCTCAAGGGGTAGAGTAAATGTAGCACGCTGAGTTCAAACCCCAGTACTGCTAACAAAAAATGTTAAATATATTCTTATGCCAATTCTGGCATTCCATATTAATTGAGAAATTTATCTATTCTTTCTTTTGGTAGAACTGGGGTTTGAATTCAGAGGCAGGCTTGAGAGCTGGCAGGCTATCACTTGAGCCACACCTCTACCTGGCTCTTTTTAACTCAGATTATTTGGAGATAGGGTCTTGCTTTTTGCCCAGGCTGATCTGGACCACGGTCCTCCTATTTTAAGCTTCCCACTGTTGCTGGATGACAGATGTGACAATGCCACCATGCCCAGCTTTATTCTATAGAGTGGGGTCTCCCGACATTATTTTCCCCCTGGGCTAGCCTGGCACTGTTATTCTTCCCATCTCAGCCTTCCATGTAGCTTGGAATGACAGGTGTGGGCTAAAAAGTTTTTTTAGTTCATCTGAGTTTTCAAATTTATCAATGTAGAGTTGCTAATGATGCTTTTCTTACATATAAAACACCTGCTGTCTATTACTCTCATTTTCCATTCTGTATTTTATTTGTATCTTCTTTCTGCAGCAGTTTTGCTGGAGGACCATTTTGTTAATCTGTTTTTTTTTTGGCAGCACTGGAATTTGAACTCAGGGCCTCATGCTTGCTAGGCTGGCGCTCTTACTGCTTGAGCCACTCCACTGGTCCTTATTAATCTTTTCAAAGAATGAATATTAATGGGTTTTTTTCCAGTGCTGGGGATCAACAGGACCCTGTGTATACTAGGCAAATGCTCTACCACTGAGCTACAGTCCCAGTCTATTTGTTTTGTAATAATGTTTGTTGTTTAGTATTTCATTGATTTTTGTCATCCTTTTTATTTTCATGGGGTTTTCCTGATTCCTTATATAATTTTTTTTTGAAGTACTAGGTTTAGAACTGAGGACCTCACAATTGTTAAGCGGGCATTCTACCACTTCAGCCACTCCACCAGTCCTGTTTTGTGTTGGGTGTGTTTTTAGATAGGGTCTTATGGCTTTGAACCACAATCTTCCTGATCTCTGCTTCCTGAGTGACTAGGATTACAAGTGTAAGCTACTAGCACCTGGCCTTACATAACTTCTTGAGCTAAGTCATGAATATAGTTATTTTCCAATGCTTTTTGTTTCCTGGTAAATGTATTTAAAAGTATAAATTTGCTTCTAATGATACTTTGTGTCTCAAAATTTTTTTGAAGTTAGTAGGGTTTGAACTCAGGGCTTTGCCCTTAGTAGGCAGGTGCTGTACTGCTTGAGCTGTACCTCCAGCTATGGCTCAAATTTTGATGTGTAGTTCCTTAAAAATTTTCATTTTTATCTGGTGGAGTTGCTCAAGTGGTAGAGCACCTCCCTGGCAAGTGCAGGACCCTGAGTTCAGGCTCCTGTACTGCCAATAAATAAATAAATAAATAAATAAAATTTTCATTTTTAAATGATAGTGGCCCACAGGAATTGCAAAAATAAGACACAGAGTCCCTTGAACCTGTCTTCAACTTCCCCATGGGACTGCTTATATAACTGTGGCATATGAGCGGGTATATGAACTTTGACACAGTACTCGTACATTAAGGACCTTATTCATTTTCTCACAGATTTTGTATTCACGTTGTGTGTGTGTGTGTGTGTGTGTGAGAGAGAGAGAGAGAAAGAGAGAGAGAGAGAGGGTGAGATAGAGAGGTGTATTATGTGTATTACCTCTCAGTTGTAAATACCTTGTAATTTCCTTATTGAATGAAGGTTGTTTAAAAATATGCTAATGAACTTCCACTCTCAAACAGGGCTTTTAAGCCTCCCTTTGCTGCTCGGGTCTCATGACATTTGGCTGGAGAACAGCCTGTATAATAGCTGCCCTTCAGATCAGCACCGTGGCCAGTGGGAGGACATAGGTGGGAGGGTGAGAGCAGTGCTTTGAGAAGCTGATGTGCTAGGTGTGAGTTAGACTGGAGGGGAGACTGTGGAGATGGGAAGCCTGTGTCCTAGAAGGTCTCCCTTCTAGGACACAGCAAATGACACAGTCAACTTTATCTCCAGAAACAGTGACCAAAAGGTGGGTGGACAGAGAATTCAGGGACTGAGGAGAACCAAGCTTGGAACCCAGGCTGAAATTGATTCCAGACTGACCTCTAGCATCTAGGACCCAGGCACAGGACCATGGGACCCCAGCATTTGCAACCTATGCAGCTGCTCTGCCTTCTAGGGGCCATCTCCTTTCTGCCTCGTATGTCCTGTGGGGCTGGATGCTATAAGAACTCACAAGGTGGGAGGCTGGGTTCATGTCACTGGGGGAATGAAGGGTGGGGTATGACCTGTGGAGGCTGAACCCTTGGTTGACAGTTCAGAGATGAGGATGTGGTGGTGGGGGATAGATGACCGAAGAGCATTCTTTTTTTAGGGGCTGGAGCTCTTTTGTGCTACGAAGCAAAAGCCTCACTCTTCAGAGCTGTTTCCTTCCATAACTGGAACTGGCTTCTGATGAGGAGCGTGGTGTGTAAGCTGAGAGAAGGCTGTGAGGAGACATTAGTGTTCATCGAGACAGGTGAAGTGACACATCTCCTTTTGCTTACTGTTCTGTCCCCCACCCCCAGCTCTACTCCCAGCCCCCAGGACTAGAGTTCCAGATACCTCCTTCATTGTAAGTTTGGGCCATGTCAGGACACTGGCAAGGGTAGGGTAGATCCCAAATATTTGGGCTGGCTAAGAGGGCAGACTAGAGGTGGGCAGATCCCTGGAGGAGGGGGCAACCTGGGGAAGAGAAAAGGATAGGACACAAGGGGGAGAGGAGCAGAAGAGCTTCTTCAGGGGGAATGATGAGGAGACATTTGATAAACAACCCCAGCATCTGAGCCCTGTGCAGCAGGTGGACACTGGGGAGAGGCAAAGCTGGTAATAGGGCAGGGTGGGTGCAGGAAGCATAGGGATGAGGGAAGGAGGAAGACTGGATGAGGCTAATGACACTGATCAGAGCATTCTGATCTTCTGCCTTTCAGGGAAAATTAAGGCAGTTGTGGGTTTTAAAGGCTGCAGTCCAGCCATCTCTTACCCTCCTCAAGTCTCCTACCTTGTTGCACCACCTGGAATGTCCATCGCTTCCTATAGCCACATCTGCCGAACCTATCTCTGCAACAACCTCACCAACTTGGAACCTTTTGTGAAACTCAAGGCCAATGCTCCTAAGTCTATAACAGCTTCTTCCCATAATTGCCCCACCTGTGTGGGCAGGCACGACCAGGAATGTCTTCCGACTTTTGTCAACGCTGAGACTTGCCCCTACTCTGCTCCCAAATGTTACAGTTCCACCTTACAATTTCGAGCAGGTGAGAGAAGAGGAACTTTGTTTACCAGCTGCCTAATTCATGTCTAGTCCATGTAGAAGGTGTGTCTAGTGCCTTCACACTTCTGAGAGAGACTGGTGAGGTCTGGAGATAGGATTGGGAATGTAGGGGACCAGGCATATGAATTCCAAGGAGGATTTGGGACCCAAATCTCTAGTGGGAGAGCAGATGTCTTGGTGAGGGACCTCTGGGATGAGGGCAAGACTTTTTTTTTCAGTACTGAGGGCTGTGCTTGCTAGACTGGTGCTCTACCACTTGAGTCACTCCACCAGCCCTTTTTTGCACTGGTTATTTTAAAGATAGTGCCCCACTTTATGCCTGGGCTAGCCTGTACAGTGATCCTCCTTTTGATGCTTCCCTGCATAGCTGGGATGGCAGGCATGTCCCACTGCACCCAACCATTGGTTGAGATGGGGGGGTCTCATGAATTTTTTGCCTGGGCTTGCCTCAAACCGCAATCCTCCTGATTTCCACCTCCCCTGTAGCTGGCATTACGGACATGAACCACCACACCTGGCCTAAATCTTGAAAGTGCCCCTGATTCTTCCCTTTCTTCTTTATAGGAACTCTCAATACCACCTTTCTCCTCATGGGCTGTGCTCGTGAACATCAAAAGCTCTTAGGAAATTTTCAGCATATTGGGAGCATCCAAGTGAATGAAGTCCTTAACATCATAGATAAGTCCCAGGTTGTTGGTGCAGGGTCCATCAGTCAGTGCTCTTCTTGGGGCATCCTCTCAGGCCTCCTTCTTGCCTTCAGGAATTGACTATCCAGCTGGACTGGAAAAATACCCAGACTCCTTTGCCTAACCAAATAAAATTGTAGAACTACCTTTCTGTTTTGTCCTGTGGTCTGTGAGAGTATAGAGGTATGGAAGGTGTGAGGAGGGCCAAACATGTCCAGGGAGGGGGCACAAGGGGAGCGGAGCCTGGCAAAGTAATGTTGCAGCCCAGGTCTCAAAAGTCAATACTTGGGAGATGAGTTTGTGGAAAGGAAAGGAGCTGAATTCAAGATGGAGGGGGCGTTGTACTCAAAGCTTCATCTCGGGGAACTCACATACACCAAAGGGCTTTTATAGGAAGGAAAGATGGAGCAGGACAGGAAGGCTACTTGCTGAGTGGGGCCTTCATGATCAAGGATGTATGTCACCTTTTTTTCTTCTCTGGCTGGATCACTGCAATCAACCTGACCTCCTGAGGCCAGTTCCTATAGTTCATTAGACAGACATATTACTTTTCTTCAAGTTAAACCTCACAACGGTTAACATGCATTGTGTTACTTGAGGCACAGAAAAAAAAATTAAGAAGAGGTGTTACACATTCTGATGTTATCTGAAGGTGGTTGGATGTTCTGGGTTCTGTAAATCTAAAGATTATTTAGAAATTAGCATTTTAACAGGGCTTGGTAGTGCTTGTCTGTAACCCTAGCTACTTGGGAAGCAGAGGCAGGAGAACTGCAAATTTGAGGCAAGTCCAGGCAAAGGTAGCAGCAAGACACCCTTTCAAAAACAAAATAGAGCCTGGCGCGGTGGCGCGCGCCTACAGTACTAGCTACTAGGGAGGCTGAGGCAAGAGGATCGCTTGAGTCCAGGAGTTCTGGGCTGCAGTGCGCTATGCTGATTGGGTGCCACACTAAGTTCGGCATCAATATGGTGACCTTCCGGGAGCGGGGGACCACCAGGTTGCCTAAGGAGGGGTGAACCAGCCCAGGTTGGAAACGGAGCAGGTCAAAACTCCCATGCTGATCAAAAACAAAATAGAGCACTTGTTTTGCAAGGGGTAAGCCCTGAGTTCAAACCCCAACCGCACTGAAAAACAAACAAAAGGGCTAAGGGCATGGTTCAATAGTAAAGTGCTTGCCTAGCATGTGAGAAGTCTTGGGTTCAATCCCCAGTACTGGAAAAAAGTTAACATCTTAATAATTTAGGTGTGGCTTCTCTTTAGAACTTAGAATGCTGGGCAAAGGGAGGGGGTATAATCTTGTAAAAGAGCAAAGGGAGAGGAAACAAAAATAATCCAGCTAAAGACAACTCCCAAAGGAGCAGGCCCTGTTACCATGATAGTGCTATGCTCAGCCACCAGGGGAGCTATCTTTCTCTGATGAAGGAAGACTAAGAGAATTTATTGGCTGTCCTGAAAGAATAGCTGAAGGAAGCTCTCCAAACAAAGAAGAAGGCTGGGAGCTTCACGAGGAACAGAATGGATAAAAATAGAAGTAAACATGATACTGTCCTTTATTTCGTGAGTTTCTTTAATCATGTATCACTGATGGTAAAATATAAAAAGCATCAAATATGGTACTCAATATATGTAGAAAACAATTCTTAAGCTCACTATATTCTTGAACATCTTCTCTTATTAATTTATAATACCATTGGGGTATAACTCATGCACCAAAAAGTCACCTATTTTAAGTGTCTGAATAGTGTTTAGTATATGCAAAGTGTTGTACAGCCATCACCCAAATCAATTTTAAACAATCTTAATCAACCCCTCAAAGAAACTCTACACCCATTAGCAATCACTCTCCATTTCCCCCAAATCCTGCAGCCCTTGGTAACCACTGGACTATTTTCTGTCTCTACATGTTTGCCTGTTGTAGAGATATTGAGTCATATATAATTGAATCATAGCATATGTGGTCTTTTGACTGGATTCTTTTGCTTGGCGTAATGTTTTCAAGGTTAATTCATGTAGCATGTATCAGTACTTCATTTCCTTTTAATGCTAAATAATGTTTCATTGTGTTGATAGACCACATTTTATTTATCCAACTATCAGTTTGATTCAGCTTTCTAAGGGGTTCGGCTGGAACTCAGGAAAAACGATGCTATGCTTGGAGTTGTTCCAGGCTGAGTGATGGGGTGGTTTCAAGGCCAGGCTCTGGGGTCATTTTAATGATGAAAAGTTCCCACAATGTTATAGGCAGTGACAGTGACTGAATTTCAGGAGCAGACACCCTGAGGCTGGAGCAGGCTTTCAGACTCCCTGATGTTGTACCCTAGTCCCAGCAATTCTCTGTGCGGGGAGTGGGGGGTTGTGGTGGGCCTGTCAACAATCCTAGGGTCTCTACATGTGCACAGGGCTCACGATACATGAACTAGAGGAAACCTGATCATCCTTGTGCTAACTTTCTCAATGGGTATTTTTTTTGGATAGAATAGAATGGGCAGCTTTTCCAGTAGTCCCCTTTCTTTTCATTCCTTTTTAATTTTTAATCTCATAGACAAATGGCACTTGACAAATTCAACATCCTTTTGTGAGAAAACAAAAACAATGCCCTTCCCCAAGAAACTATACTTTCCCATGCCAGCAGAAGAGGGTACTCTTGAACTAAGAAACACTGTCAGTCGCCCACCCACCAGAATTGTGCTTACATATAAGTGTATATGTAGCATTTAAAAATGAACAGAAGCTTAGGGGTGTGGCTCAAGTGGTAGAGTACTTGCCTAGCAGGCTCAAGGCCCTGAGTTCAGTCCCCAGTACTGCCAATGATGATTATGACAAATAATAATAATAATAATAATAATAATAAAATGAACAGAATCCATACAAAGACATCTATACAAAGACATTAATGATGAAAACAATATAGAAGATCAGCATTTCAGCAGATGAAACTTCTCCTACCCAAATCAAACATGATCATTAGCGCAATACTCAACTGAACCAAATATCCTAAAATAAACCCCAGGAAAAATGTGAAATAAGAATTAAGTGTCTGTGTATGATGTCTCACACCTGTAATCCCAGCTACTCAGGAGGCAGAGATTGGGAAGTTAGTGGTAGGAGGCCATCCCAGGCAAAAAGTTTGAGAGACCCCATCTCAATCAATAGCTGGGTGTGGTGTTATAAGTCTCTCATCCCAGCTGTGCAGGAATCATAAATAGGAAGATTGCAATCCAGGCCAGTCTTGGCAAAAAGTGAGAACCTATCTCCACTCAAAAAATAACCAAAGCAAAAAGGGCTGGGAGGATGGATCAAGTGGTAGAGTATTTGCTTAGCAAGCACAGGACCTTGAGTTCAAACCCTAGTACTGCAAAAATAAATACACAAATTAATTAATTTAAAATACAAAAATAAGGGCTAACTTACAAAGTACTCATGAGGCAACAAATTTGACTAAAAATATAGGAGAGATTGAGGAAAGTCATGGGAGTCAAGAGAATGAAGACAAGGAATGAAACAAAAAAGGTCAGAGCCAAAATAATTGATAGAAGAAAGCCTCAGGAGAGTCTAGAACATTACAGTGGAAAATATTTGATGTCTAAAACTGTAAGCTAAGATAAATTTCTAATATTAAAAGAAGACTTGAATCTGTATCTTCCTGGGAAAAGAAACATGGGACAGTGAAGTCTAAGTAGTGTGCTAGGAAAATATTTTTTAAAAAGATAAGTACTGGGATTTGAACTCAGGGTTTCATGCTTGCCAGACACATGCTCTACCACTTGAGCTACACATCCAGCCTTTTTTGTTTTAGTTTTTTTGGGGGTGGCAATGACAGTGTCTCACTTTTTGCTCAGGCTGGCCTGGACTGTGATCCTTCTTATCTCTGCCTCTTTAGTAGCAGTGATTACGGACGTGGGCCACTGTGCCTGTCTGAAAATATTCAGTTTTAAAGAGAAAGGAAAAAAAATGTCTACATTTCAGGTAGAAAGACTAAATCACTTAGTGAAAAGAAAATTAGACTTCTCATATAAAATAAGCGAACAATGTAGTTGCATTTTTAAGGGACTAAAGGAAGCGTGATAGAAATATTTTTTATCTAGGTGGGCTAATTTCCAAGTATAGGACTATGAGCAGGGCTGGTGGAGAGGCTCAAGTGGTAGAGCACCTGCCTAGCAAGCATGAAGCCTAGAATTCAAACCCCAGCACCACCAAAAAAAAAAAAAAAAAAAAAGAAAGAAAGAAAGAAGGAAAAGCGAGAAAGGCTATGAACAGCAGTTTTCCATGTGAAATCTCCGGGGAACACTGGAGTAATCTCTCTCAGGGGTCCTGACTATAGGATGGGCATCCTTTCACCCAAACAAGACTAGGACCTGTGAAACTTTGGTAAATGTACTGGGCATGGGCACTGAATATAGTTCAATATAAAACTGTAAATAAACAAGGATGGGGACAAGGAGGGGGAAAAATGTGATAAATAGGAATAGCAGGATCAATAAAGGCAACATATGACAAGCCTGTAGCCAACATTAGACTGGATGGGGAAAACTGAAAGCATGACACTCACAATCTTCCTGACTCCACCTCTTGAGTGCTGGGAAAACAAATGTCCTGCTTAGCAATCCCTTTTTGTCTACCTCCTCCCCACTGCAAAGAACTGGGAACCCGCAGCCCTGGGACACTGTCTGTGGTGCTGACAACCAGGAGCAGTTGGAGGGCTGGTGAACTGTGATCTAGTTCTTTTTATTTCTAACAGCTGAGCCTTAGCACCATGGAGAAGGTGGGTAGGTATTGGGATGTCAAATGTTCCCGCCTCCCTCTTAGGAGCTGGAATATGCCATTGACATCTTTGAAGGAGCTGACACCAATCAGGACAACTGAGTCCAGGTGCTCATTTGTAGTTGTTACTAAAAAGGTGACAAAGTGGTCAGGCGCTGGTGGTTCATACTTAGTTACTTGGAAGGCTGAGATTGGGAGGATCATGGTTTGAGGCCAACCTGAGCAAATCATTTGTGAGACCCCCCCATCTCCCAAATAACCAGGGTTGGAGATGTGGCTAAAGCAATAGAGCACCTGCTTTGCAAGCACAAAGCCCTGAGTT